TCGGAGTCTCCTCCACACTTCACTCTGTGCGCGAGCGTTTGGCAAGCCGGTGCTCCATGCGCTCCATCTGCTTGTCAAACAGCTGGGTCATTTGCTGGGCCTGTTGCTCCATGCTGCCTTGGAGCTGCTGGATTTGTGATCCTTGTTGCTGCGTGGTTTCTTTAACCCAGCGTGCCATGTGACCCTGCTGCGTGTGGATCTGTTTCACTTGCTGTTCCAGCGCGGCGATGCGTGAGTCAGCCATTGGAGGCCCTCCCGACTGGACTGCGGCAACTTTGGCATCCATGCTCTGATGAATGCGCTGCTCCATTTTGTGCAACGCATCTATGGTCAAGTTGGTGCCGCTTGGCGCGGGGACCTTTTTAACCGCAGATTGCCACGGGTCCTGGATGGTCCATGGATCGACCCTGGTGCCGCCTTCACTACTTGGTCCACTACGTCCGCCCGCACTTCCTCCTCCTGGAACGCCTGGCAGGTTTGCTTCTGGAGCATGGCAGCTTGCCTATCCGCCTTGGGCAACCAGATGACACTGCATTGCATGCTGGGTGCAAGTCCATTGGCAGTGCGCGGCTCTATGTACACTCCACGTGTGCCCGAAAACCCTTGCACGACGGCTTCCAGGCTCTCCGGGATGCGAACACTGACCGTGAACAGGCAGGCTGTGTCTGGGGCTGTAGCCTGATACCCCAGCTTGGTGAACTGTCGCCTCCACACATCCAAGAGCGCATCACTAGCTGGGTTGTCACTGGATCCATGCCATTTATAGACCTGGATGCGCTGGGTGCTAGCTGCTACCCCTTCTACCTGGATGACATTGGTGGGGGCTGCCTTTTTCACAGGCGCCTTGCCCATTTGCAACATGATGGCGGAAATCAAGATAGGCTCTTGCGTATCTGCACAGGTGGCTGGGAATCGGATGTCGGTAGGCACAAATGCTTGAGAAAAGTCCTCCAACTTGGCTCCGAGCACCAGCAAGGCCAGGCATTGTTGCGACACCGGTTGCTTGGCTGCAAGGTAGGGCTGTGCATAAGATGCGTCAACTACCAGGACTCCTTTGGCCTGTGGTCCGATTTGCTGCATGGTGAGCTGTGGGAGATCCTCATCTCCTTGGAACACTCCGGTACGGACTATGACCTGTTCATAGGAGACTTGCGGAGGAGCCCCGCCTTTGCCTAGGCCTTTGGCACGCCCCTCCGTGGCCCTTTTCTTGCGGCCTACCGGGATTGCACTACCTGCGCGGTCAGCAATTTGCTTGCGAAGTTCATCCGGGACCACGAACTTGAAGGCAGGTGAGCCTTGGTTGCCGACTTGTTTGAGGGCGGCCCAAGGATTAGTTTCCTGACTAGCTCTCTTGATCGGGCCGGCTCCGAGGGCGAGCACGGCAGCTTTGGCACGGTCAGCAACCCGGTCAGGAAAAAAAACCCGCTCGTGCAAGATGGGTCCAAGGATTTGGCATGCATCCTCGACTTCGGCGGAATTGCGCCCCTTGGCCATGACAACAGGTGAAGGCCATCTGGCGCTGACACGAATGGCATCATGGAATCTGCTCCGCAGGACCGGGGCCGTGATTTGTTCCAGGGCGTTAAATTCTCCAACCGCGCACCAGAGCCAGATGGCTCGGAACCCACACGCTGGGCTTGGCCACTCCGTCCACACTCTAATGGTCAATCTGGACCTCTCGGCACCGGAGAGCTTGGGCGACGGTATGGTGCAGTGGTTGCATGTGCTCTGCATCGGTACAGGTCGTAGCCTGCAGGGTTCGTGCTTGACGCGTCCACACAACTGGTATCCAGTGCTGGTGTACTCTGACTACGGAACCTACCACCAGCTTCTGATGCGGCGGAAATTCCTGCCGGTTAAACCAGTCTTGCACCTGGGCTTGGCCGTTTGGCTGCAGACTGATGAGGGGATCCATGTAAGCCTACTGTCCCTGACAAGGGCTGCGAGGTGGAACCGGAGCTCATCGTCGGCCCACAGTGAGTCTTGCATGTCAAGCATCTCGATTCTCATGGTGGTAGGGATGTAACGCTGGCCGATATGTTCCCAGGGGAGAACTGGGTTCTCTGCGGAATGCAATCTTTGCACACGGTCGGCTAACACCTGACGCCACCTGGTGACATGTGGTCCTAAGGCTGGTGCAGTGGCCTCTTCCGGACCGACTTCATTGGTGGGAGCTTGGGCGTCGGCATGATCGCCGGCTGCCAGCACCAAGGGCCCTCTACACATGATCTGGTCAGCGACCGGACCGCAGTGCTGAACGCGGCATAAGTCCCAAGGTACTGCCAAAGCCAGTATATGGCGCGGAAACCACATGCCTCATGCGGCCAGGATGACCCAACACGGTGATCAACCTTCAGGTCCTGGCAGTGCCAGGCGCGTGCGATGATTTCACTGGCCTTCTGAAGGGCTTGGGCGCTGTTCTTGTTGCTGGAACACGAGACAATTTCCAGTGGTGCTCCCTTCTTGACCCACACCACCGGGATCCAATGCGCTTGGGCCCGGACTACCGACACTATCACTGCCTGATGCTTGGCATGCAGATCGTTGGTCTGCAACCATGATGCAACCTGATCCTCGTCATCCCTGCTGCGCAGATTGGATGCTGCTAGCGGCTCAAGCCACTGGTCTACGCTGGGGCATGCACGTGTGAGTTGGCGCAAGTGAAACCGGATCTCATCGTCGGCCCACAGGGCACCTTGCTGTTCAAGCACTTGAAGGCGCTGCTCACTTCGTGTGATGGGGCTTGGCGTGTGTGAGGGATCCACAAGGCTAATGGCTGGCGTTGCTGCGGCGAGCAACTCACGGATTGGATGCGGGGCAGCATGCTCTGGCGGGCCCTGGCGCACCTTGATGATTTGGCCATCCCTGACCTGAGCATCTGCCGCTTCCGTGTCGTCCAAGTGGACAGGGACTCCGTGCAAGAGGCTTTCAGCTCGCAGGATTTGGCCGACAGTGACTTCATCAGGTTGCTGGCATGCAATCCTAACGGGAGGCTCTCCTGGATAAAGGAGCTGCACTTGCACGGGATTGCTGTGGGTGAACTTCCCTCCACAGGTAGGGAGAGGTGCGCTGGCTGTGCTGGGCTGGGGTGTCCATTCAAGGCAATCCTCGGGCAAGTCATCGGCAAGATCACGAAAGGCAACTGCATCTGAGGACGCGCCGGGCGGTGTCCTTGGCTCTAAGCGGTCTGCGCAGGTGGTCCAGACCTCTTCCCTGGCTTGCAACAGTAGTGCCTTGTAGGCCTGCAGAACAGTCTCTGGTGTGGGCGGCTGGACGGCGTAGTGCGTGTGTGCCTGGGCCTGTACGTGCATCATGATCCACACCGACTGGATAGGTGAGGCTAACTGGCCAACCAAGGCGAGTCCTAAGCGGCAGTTCCCTACCCATTGCATGCCTGGGTGCAACCCATTCAACAGCGCACGCTCGGCAGGGTTGATTTCCCCATCCGTGCAGTGCGGTTGGCATGGGCAGGTCGCTCCGTAGTACTACGGTGTCTAGGTCACCTAAGACTTGGGAGAACACTCGAACCTCATGCTCGGTTAACAACAACTGCTGGATCTCATGCTCTGGCCACGGTGCCAGAGTGGGCATGATGCTTGCCACAGTCCTGTGCTGTGGATCTGCGGGCAATGGGCGCAACTGAACTGGGCCGAAGTCCTGACTGGTCAAGACTGCCCACCACCGGATGCGTCGGGCGCCCCACGTGTCTTGCAACTGCAGAACCTGCTGGGCTACGTGGTACTGATGGCGGGATGCAAATGCTTGCAATTGACCCTGCACCCATGGATCATGCTGCACTTCGGCTACACATTCAAGAACCACTACTTGGCTTTGGAGTAGCTGGGCAATTTCCAGGGCCGCCGGCAGGGTTTTGGCTCGCATGTCTGACTGGCCCTTATTGTCTCCCAGTCGACTAAAGGGTTGACAGCTGAAGCCACATGTGAGTGTGCTGTGTTGGGCTCCTTGCATGGCGATGGCTCGCTTGATGGGCAGCTGGGCGATGTCCCCTTCCAAGATGAGCAACCGTTCATCTCGGGCGTTTGCCCTCAACACCTGGCATGTATCGAACTGCTTGTCGTTCTGCAGCTGGATGTGGTACGATGCAGCTTCTGCGCCTTTGCCAAGAACTCCCAAGCCGGCGCAAACCTCCACCAGCTCGAGGTGATCCTGAACCGAGGGTTCACGGAAAGCCCTGACCTGCGTGGTCTGGCATCTGGTCACCGTCAAGCTCTTCTGAGATCGGGCAGTGAGGACTCCCACCAAAAGCACCTTAGCAGCAGCTGGGATCGGGAAGTGAACGCGCACCTCCATCTTGTGGGTCAACGACCAGCCTGTCGACACTGGGTCACCTGGGCACTGTATGGCAACTACCATGTCGTCCATGCCTCAAGGAGTTGGCTCAGGCTGAAAGAAAACAACTCCAGAACCCGCGTCCACCCACTACCGTTTTCCTGCAAGTGTTCGTTGCGCAATGCAATGCTCAGCCGCAGAACCCGCTCACCTGTTGACTCACCAGCTTCCAAGCACGCATAAGATTTAGCCCCGGAGACCCGCTTCCGCATTCTTTTTCTCTGAGCTGAACAGAATGGCGAAAATTGGCACAATTCTGCTCACAATAGCCACAAAGGGCTCAAGTTCTTAAGCTCCCGGCATCAGGCACCAAATTTCTTGAGCAAGAGGAAGGAGAGTAGTAGGAAAACATGAAGCGGCAGAATGCCGAAACCTACGCCTACGTTGCAGAGTGCCACTACCCTACAGAGGGTTGGCTGAAACAAAGCTGTCGCATGCCGACCGTTCTGACATTCTGTTCCACGGCGAACAAAAATAACGTGGTGAAGCGAATGCAAACTAGCTGTTGTCCAGCAACTGGCGTCTTCAGGATTCCACTCCGCAACCCGCTTCTCCTCGCAACCCGCTCATTCCGTGAAACAGTTGTGGCTGTGTGGGGCTCCAGCTTTAAGCAGTGGTGGTCGAACCTGGAACAAACCAGCATTGTCGAGGCCTTGTCCTCGTCCTCGGCGACGGTCCACGCCTGGTCGTGCGATGTCGCGGATGCAGCCAAGACCAAGGAGATGCTGCAGAAAGCCAGGCGCGCAGGTTTGCCGGGCTCTGTTTCCATGTGGGAAGTCGGGTAGGGCCGCTTGCTGCGGTACCAAAGGAGCCCACGGAGAGAATAAGTAGTCATAGGTATGACCCAGAATGGTATCACAGAAAGGTTCATGCGTGCTTGAGAACCGTCCGATTCGGAGGTCCTTGGACGCGCCGCTGAAAAACGTGGTGCATGCCGCTGGCATCATCGACTTCTGCGAGGTGACCAAGCTCACCGTGGAGGGCATGAATTCAGTTTTCAAGCCCAAGGTCTCTGGAGCGTGGAACCTGCACAGCGGCAGCTCATCAGAAAAGCATTGGGCCTGTTCAGCCACCTGAACCACTTGAGGAGTTCTACTGCCTGGTTTTATGGGTTTTGGAGTTTTGAGTGCGGGTTATGCATTTTTGATACCCATGTCAACAGGGTTGGGGCACGGCTCAGCTTCTTGTTTTGTGGTCTTGTGAGATCGACAGATATTCAAAAAGACAACAATGGTCGATTTCCATTTGGTCACCCAAGACAGTCGAAAGGGAGGGGGGGAAAGGTGAGGGTGCCCCCAATAAGAGACCCTCCCCGTGCTCTGTTTGTGGGTACGGAAGTGATCGGAGAGGGGCCACACCTACACGTTTTTTTGCAGCTGGGGTGGGATGAGAAAAGGATCGTTTCACTTGGTCCAGCCGTTTCCCACTCCAAACAGAACTCGTGCGCGAACACACACACACACACACACACACACACACATACACACTAAAAAACGGGTCTTGTTTGCTGTCCAATGGCCACTGAGCAACGGAGCCTGATCTGGGTATCACATCCTTGGAAGGTAAATGCCAATGACCACCATGTGATCAAGGCTTGAAGCTCAGGTTCCTGGGCAATGGGGCAAGGGCTCCCCTGTAAAATAATTCCCCTGTAAAATTATCCACACAGGCTGTCCTTTGTTATTCGGTGCATTCTGGAGCACAGAAGCCGCTCCCGAGGGTTACCAGCCCAGGTATGGATGGCGAGGATGCGAAGACGCTGAACTCTTTTGTGCTCTTCTCCTCGGTGTCTTCTCTCATCGGCTTGTCCGGACCCCGGAACGAGTCGGGCGCTGCTTCCAACTGGGAAAGGGGTTTGTCGCCCAACTAATCAGAGGACACCAAGCGTCCGGTTCCAAGTGCCCTTGGAATCCGTGCGGTCTGCAAAAAGTCACAGTGCACCAACAATTGCCCAGTGAAATAATGCCGCAGTCCCCGCACCCTTCCCCGTACTTGTTCCCGTTGTAGATTCAGGGGAAATCATGCATGCGAGGGACATGTTTTCCCTCGGGGTAGGATACGCACTCCGAGCTCTCAATTTGCAAACCATGTGCCGTCATTCAACCGGGGCTCATGTGAGGATGGCTTGCTTTAGTGACCCTTGAGATTCCAAAAGCCCGCTTTTAGCAGGTCTTACGATATAGGACCCGCAAAACGCAGGCCGACCCAAAATGTTACGGGGAGAGGCCTGTTTTGCAGCAGCACTGGTCGTGTAGTTACACAGCATTAGTTTGCTAGCTTGGGTATTACTGTTTTGAATCCTTATCCCGAGTGTGGCTTTCACAGCATTTCAAGGAATGTGCGTTTGTAGATCGAGTGATTTGCGTAACTTCTGCTTGAATTTTGCGTGACATTGGCCTCGTTTTTTTAGGGAAAGGCCATCTTTTAGTGCGACGAAAGACCGTGAAAGCGTAGAGCAACGCGACAAGAGCGACCCCTTGCAGTTTAGCTCCACATGAAAGACCACTCGAAAGCACGCCACTTTTCTGCTGGAAACACCTTTGCCGACGAACATCATAATGAGAACAGTGAAAGCCAGGCAGCACTTGTAAGGGCAATGCTTGTGCGAAATGACAACGCAGTGGTCCCCACATTCACGCTGGCCTCACGATTTTCTTACGTTTTTTCACGGCCTTTTGCGCCAAAAGAGGGCCTTTCGCGCAAAATCGGGGCCGCCATCACGCAAAACTCACGAACAACTCACGCAAAACCTACTCTACATACCTATGCTCACGCTGCGCCCACATTTGTCCATCGATTCGTCCTGCACAATGTTTCAACTCTGGGGCCACTGACGCACACAAGACTCACACAGACTAGCGTCTAATCAACAGGCACCATGATTACAGCAAATTCAGATGCCAATCCATTCCCAAATGATGGTGCCTAAGGGCTTTGCTGCAGCTCGTGTTGTCGCCAATTGCGCTGGAGCGAAGTACAGGCTCAAACAGATTCACCGCGGAAACGTCCTGACAAGTCAATTTACAAGTAATTGGGAAGTGAAAGCACAGTTCGCCATAAGAGTTTTTAGGCAACACACTCACCTTTGTTTTTGCACCCATTTAGGCAAGCGCTGCAAATGGGGCCTAGGCCGCCCGAAAAGCAGGCTGCATTCCGAAAGATTCGGAGAGACCCGCAAAAAGCAGGTTGCGGAAGGTCAAGGGACCCTTTAAAGGGGGTCAGGAACGCTGCCTTTTCAGCAGCTCTCAGATGTTTTCCGGGCATGGTGTAATTCAGTATGTCACAGCCCTGCCTTCCTGCAATCAAACTTGCTTGCCTCAGCATTGTTGAGTCGGCAATTCGGATGTTGGAACAACACTCCCTTAGACTCGCACGAGCATCACATATTGGACCGAGGAGCCAAGAAATCAGAAGTGTTGGCTTGACTCACTAGACTATGTGGGTAGTTCATTTTGGGCGCTAAGCAATCCCCCTGTCAAAGAAATAGCACGAGGACACCCATATGTACTGTTTCTCCAAAACAGGTTGAGATCGATGTGCTAGGTCCAAGCTTGCTGTGATCCCATTCCATGAGATAAGCTGCCTGTACGTTGGCCCTACGCCTTCTCAAAAGTAACATCTCCCCACCTCCGTCCTTTTAGAAAGGGGCTCAGCCGTTTCTTTGCCGCCAGATCTGAATCCGTATGTGGCCCCTCTTTCTTTGGGGGGGAGGGCAGGTTCCTCAACTGGGTGATTCCAAAGGGAACAAATTCTGTATGTCCAAGATGTGTCTAGACGTCCACACCTGGCACCTGGTTGAGGATTGGGAATGGTCACCGTCGACCTTTGGGCGGTCGGTGCCATTGTAAGCATCCTCTGGCTTTCGGGTCGGACCGGGTGACCAGACATGCTGACTTGTGGTGGTCAACTATGGGCTTTGGGAGGACATGGGGAATCCATCCAAATTTTGCCTGTAGAAATCAGGGGAAAAGACCAACCCGGTTTTCCCTTAAACCAACCGGGCTCCAAAAGGGCCTACCTCCCCATTAAACTTCAGCCATTCTGTCCGTTGACCATGGAGACTGAGCTCAAAACAAATAGGACCCCCACCCAAAAAAAGAGAGTAATTTTTCTCACCAAACATGGAACCCGCAAGCAATGAGGTCCTCAGGGGTCACCTACTCCGCCTCCAACGCCTACCTGGACGGGCTCAGCCTCTGGCGCCGCGCTGAAGGCCTGGCCGCCAGCAGCCTCCAGCCACTCGGACGGATCAGAACCGGAACAACTAACAGGGGCGGTTTAGCTGCGTGTATCACAGAATCACGCATATGGCCATGGGGAAAACCTTCGGCTCCATTTTGGGGTGGATGAACATCCATTTGCCACCTATTTTGATGTTCGCCAAGGGTTACAGGGTTTTGTCCCACAGCCATATGAGCTCGTTCTTGGTTTTGCCAGCGGACGGTTAGCCGTGGTTATTTAAACAAGACCTGTTCCCCTAGTGCCACGATCAAGACCTGGATAAATAAAGGTTTGCAACACGCAGACCCAACCATAAACAGGCGCAGCGGCTCTTTTGTTTTTTTGCCTGGTGTTGGAGAGATCACTTTGATACCAGGTTTTGATCGTGGCTCAGTTGGTCAGAATGGAATCTTAGGGCTCCAACTATTTTTCTGCCAGGGTCACTACGCAACTGTATGAAAAGACTGGGGTGCTTTCGCATTTTGGGTGGCTGAACCATTGCCTATTGAGCCAACCAGAAGATATTGCTTTTTGTGTGATGTAGGGGGGCGGAACGCTGCAAAAACGCGCCTATCCAGATGGATGACTTGCTTTGGGTTTCCCAGAAGCACCTACCAGTCCTCGAGTTTGAAAGCTGCATGTTTGACCGCATGCTCGAGCGTCTCAAAACAGGGGAACTGTTGGATGATTTCGTAGCACCAAGAGAAACCAAACCACAGTGAAGGCGCCTAATTCTGAGACACGCCCAGTGGGTGAAGCAGCAAGAGGGTAACCAGGGATGAGGTCACCGGTCTTGGAACCAGATAGCGCATTTTCTGAAAGGTGGCCCAAGCAACTTGCTGCAAACGATGGAAGCTGCTTGCGGGGCACCGAACAACTGGCAGCGGAGTTCAGGCAGAAGTTGACCTGGTCGTGTCTGTGTTTGAGGGTGCTTTTCCTTGTTTGCTTCCACAGGGAACCAAAAGGAACGCCAACATATATATATATATATATTGTCTTGGTTTTTTGGGGGTCCTCAAAAAGGACAATCCCACATGCAAACCATGTGTTGCATTTGAACAAGTCTTGCGAGCTCCAGGATGAAGGCTGAGAGATTGTTGCTCGCAAGTTGCATTGTTCCAGCCTCGCAAACACAATCTGAAAGTGGCTCGCCTGTGCAACCGGCAATCGCGCCTATGTTTCTTGGTACTTTGCCACGTGTTTTGTGCAGACAGCCTCGCTGGGTTCATGAGGTGGGGCCCGGTCGCAGACGTGGGCATGGCTGCCAAGGGAGAGGCCCATGGAGCCTCCGTGGCTTGGTGGAATGCTTGGAATCGCGGTCTTTTTGTCGCTTGTGTTCTTCAGATATTGGAATATCCGTCCAAAGGGTTGGTACACATAAATCCCCAAATGATGTCCACCAGAGGGTGCCCAATTACGATCTGTTTCACACCCAAGAGCGTTCATGGAGTTGCTTCTTGTTCCCTGAAAAATATGTTGAAGAGGTTTTGCCAGTTTGTTCATAAGTCATACACGACTTGCATAGGTTGCAATTTGAAGTCAATTGCAAAAAACCAGCTGGATTGAACTGAGGTGTGTTTGCCATCGATTCAAACCAACATGCTAAAGTTCCTTCTGGTGTTGTGGCCGTTTCGGGGCTATGGAGAGGTTTTGAGCTGCTTATTTATGCGGTAGGGAACAGCAGATCCCACCTCAATGAAGATGTATTCCCTCCGAGTTGTTTAGTGGCACATGCAACTTGGGTGTAAGGACAACTCCAAAGCTGTAGCTAGGAACTACCCTACAACGGTTACCTCCTGGTTTCCCTAATAGTGTCTGAGTTTGTTGGCGTCCTTGTGCAGGGGTGGCTCATTCAATGGCCTCGAAACATGGTGAAGTGCTTCGGCTGGTTTCCCCGGTTGCCATTTGTCTACTGATCACCGCGGAATCAACGCCGCCAGGATTCGGCCTTGAAGCTCATCTCTCCCAAGCACGTGCGCAACGCTTTCCAGCGGGTCCTGGCCAAACCGTCCCTGCCCCACCAGCTGCTCTTCGCCCGCGCCTTGCGCGCAGTTTTTCAAGCCGTCGGATTCTCGTCTTTCTTGAAACATTCAAACCCGTGAACCATTCAAACTAGAGCCTGGGGAAGGAGTGTTTCTGGGAGTGGTCGCAATCCTGGAAAAGCCGGACCTATTGGAACATCCAAAGCAGCTTCACAGGAAACGGAGGCAGATTCTGACTTTGGCGACTTGACAAGATGAACCTGCGGCGAAATCAGGGCCCAGGAAACTCCTTTCTAGTCTAGGTCTCGAATTGATATGAAACACTTCCCGGGCTGGAGGCTGGCTGCGTGCGCTGGTGGACAGGGTTGTAGAACATCCGTGGGATTGCAGACACCTAAAAGGACCCTGAGACAAAGATGTCTTTTCCATTGGAGTGTGATGATATTCACTTCCGGCTTCAGCAGCAGCATGCTTGGCTTTGATAAGTGTCGTTTGAGCTTGTTTATTTGGGTTGCTCGCATCGTGCTGACATTTGTGTGGTTTATCATGGGTGCAAGTTCTGCTAGTCTTTGCTGCTTCCCTGGAGTCCATAAAGAGTATGGGAGTGATCCAACTGCAAGGCGTTGACTTGGGGAGCTGGCCCGTGTGTTCAAGTGTGATCCCGGCACGTGCCTCGCGTGTTCTCATTTTGGAGAAATCCAAAGGACCGTACGCCGTACGCCGTGGAATCCGCTAAAGATCATTTAGTTTCCTGAAGCGCCAAAAACGAGTAGCACATGTTTCGTTGCCCGAAAGCAAAAGAGGGTGGATACTCTCCAGATTCGCATGGAATCCAAAAAGCCGCCGTTGAGGAAGCTGCCCCCTCTGGGTTCCATGTCTATCAGCGTCGCCGAAAACTTCCCCGCGAACTGGAGATCGATCCCAGGCGCTGACTGGTCGCGGTTCATGCAGCAGGTGGGCACTCTGGTGCCGGTGCTGGTGGAATCCAAGGCAGTCCCGAATCGAAGCGCGCGAGGGGAAGGTCGCCCCAGGAAAATTAAACACCTGGTGGATTTATTGGAGAAGGGGGGTGTCCCAGTTTCTTGTCAGGTGAGTTGGCGAACTTGAAGCGTTTGCGATCCTTCACTTGGGGTTGGAACAATGCGGCAGATGAGTTGATCCGGGTCAGCATCACTGATTCGAAGGCTTGTTCAAGAAGACTGCTGTCTTAGTTGAAGTTTACCAGGACCCGCCGGTGCTGCAGCCATGATTATTCTTGACATGCTGTTGGGTAGACTCCTTTAATATACGGTTTTGAGCTGTTCATAGCAATGCACAACAAGAACCCCTAAACTGAGTCATTCCAAATTGGAATCACGTAAAGTAGCCTGAGGCACAACACATACAATATTATGTAAGTGTGCATGCAAAGGATAGGGTGTGAACCTTGTTATCGCGTCGAAAGTTCGCAGATTCATGTGCGTGTGTGTGCTGTTCGACACCCCGGTTTAAGGGGAAACCAAAAGGAAAGCCAGTTCCATTTCGACAAATGCCAAATCTGGGGTCCCCAGCCCCAAACCTTGTTATCTTTCAGGGTAGTCTCGACGAAATCTGAAGAATCCGATCTGATTTTTGTTTGGGTGTACCCAAGAGGGGGCGATGTTTTTTCCGTCCAGGCCAGCGCCGCCGCAGCCGGGGACAGCGGCGCGCTGAAGGCTCTGCAGGGCCTGGCGCCGGAGGTACTCCAAGGCGCCCAGACTCGCGGACGCGCGAACTTGAGACCAATGGGCCATGGGCCGTGTCTTGTTTTTGGCTACTGTACCCCCCTCCCAAAATGAAGAAATCATGGCTTTTCTTTTGAAACTTTCCTTTAAAGACCAACCAAAAGAGGGTTCCCCGAAAGATGCACCCGGGGCCATGGTGCCCTTCGAGGGTTCAGGACCATCCCCAACCCCAGCACAAGGGCCAGATGATGGCACATAGTTCTGAAACCTGCTAGCGTTTGCTCCGTTGGTTGTTGTAAGCTGTAAGTTGTCCAGGACTCTTTAATTCCTAAACCCTAAATCAAATTCTAGGGGAAGCCCAGAACCCAGGTTCATCCAAGCCTTGCCCACTTTTATTGTTCAAGACGAGTATTCCAGACCCCTGGATCCAAAGCGCCCAGTTTTCTTGAGGCAAGCTGGAAGACATCGTCCTGGGCGTGGCCCAGGGCGTTTTGGGCGAGATGTTGGAGTCGGAGGCGCCGCTGATGGAGTCGGGCCTGGACTCCTTGTCGGCCGTGGACTTCAGGAACCAGGCGGGGCGGGGAGCCACGGACGACTAGGTTTTGCTGGGGCGATAGGGAATGACAACGAGACGTCCAGGTTTCAGAAATGAATAAAATTCGGGTTCCGTCAAAGAACACCATAGGGGATGAACTGTTTCGGGTTTCCCTTAAAGGAAACCATATTGAATGGATGGCTTTTCTTGTCATTCCGTTTCTCACTCCCTGCCGATCGAACCGAACCAGCATATGGGAAGCCGCCAAAAAGCCGTGGGGTGGGGAAAAAGCGACGCGGCCATAGGGCAAACCCCTCGTGCCCAGTTTGGGACTCCGCGTCGGTCCGAGGGAACCTCGTCCTGAGAGGTCCTGGGGTCCTGAGGGCTTGGGGCCCAGTTTTCGGTTAGCCGCATTCCAAGCCAAATGCACGGGGTGAGGGGGAGTGGTGTGTTTAGGGGCCAGGTTTGTGGTTGGGGGGTCTTGCTGACTTAGCCTAAGTTGGCCGTAGCTTACACTTACTCGAGGCGTTCTTGTTTTTGATGTGTTCTTGTGAAGTCTTTGGAACGGCACCTATGCAAATGGAAGACAGGAGTCCTATTTCCCCTGTTTGGAAATGAAAGCATCACCTTTTGGTTGCCTTTTGAACTAAGAGGCACATCAGGTGACGTGAGTTCATTTGGGGACCTGAGTGTCATTTTTTGAGAGAAGAGCGCAAGCCTGAGGTGGCGAAACAGCTTCCTGGTCTCAAGTTGCCCAACACCCTGATGTTCGACTACCCCAGCCCGCAGGCGAGCCAGCCAAACTGCTGCGTGAGGGAGCCGCATCCGCTTTGAGCCTCCATGAACTTCGGAGTCAGGAGTCAGGAGGAAGACCATACCGATAGGAATCCGGACAAACCAAATCATTCCGCACTGAAAGGGGAACCGCTTTGACAAGTACAGTCCGGATTCCGGATGAATCTGAAGGCACCTTGTTGTCTGATTGGCAGTTGTGGTTCGCCTGGGGGTCACTTGACGCGCTTGCCACAGGCCATCGCCAAATACGCGGCCGCGCAGCTGGCGCCGGCGGCCGCGCCTGCGGCCGCCCCGGCGCGGCTGGCTTCGGCGGACGAGCGCGGGCCGCTGGCCACGCTGGGCAGCGCGTGCCGCTTCCCGCTGGGCGAGGACTGCGAGACGTTTTGGGCTGCCCTGGCCACCAGGCCAAGACTTTGGAGCGAGTCCGATGTTCTTGGCGCGAGAGGGAGGGAATTTTTGGGAGGGTTTTGGGAATGAACCGTTTGGGGATTCCCTGAAAGGAAACCATATAGGTGATGGTTTATTTATAGCGGTCATCATTCCCTGCGGAGAACATCCGAGAACATCCGAGAACCAGCAGGTTTTCAAGCGCACCCTGTTGAGGCTGTGTCCTTTGAGGGCAAAGCTTGGCACACTTTTTTAGGGGTACCTCAAAAGTGGTTAAGCATCCCCACCTACTCGGAATGTGCAGCTGGCTTGCTCATTTGAAAAAAAGTGGGGCAACCCTGCATAGTTTGCTATTTTATGCGGTGCTTAGCAGGTGGGAGGCGAATTCTGATTTGCTTTTGGATGGGAAAGGACACATGTCGCATGTGGCAACTGTTGGTTGAACCATTTACGCTTGGTTGACTTGACAGCCTGCAACCGCGCTACTTGTTGGCATTGAGGTTCAGAAAACAGATGGCGTCACTGAAATCCCCTACGAGCGATGGGATGTGGACGAGTACTACGACCCCTCTCCCAACGCGGTGGGGCGGATGTACGTCCGGCATGCTGCCTTCATCCAGAACGCCGAATCCTTCGATGCGGCGATGTTCAGCATTTCTGGAGCAGAGGCGGCCAGCATGGACCCGCAACAGCGCATTCTGCTCGAGATTGTGCAGGACCGATTCAATCGGAATCAAACGCAAGAGATGGTTCCAGAACCTTCAAGAAATAATACTTTCAACAAAGCTTGGCGGACACAAACGCATGTAGTGCTCGATTAGCAACCCCCCGCCCCGATTAAAGGTGTTCCGTTTTCCCTCCCAGATTCCCACCAATACTAAAGCAAAGGGGCAACAAGGTTTGCCCCAAAAACCCTACCCAATATTTTTTGGGCCTCCTCAAACTCCCCCTGATTAAAGGTGTCCCCCTGCAGCCCCCAAGCAGAAAACACCTGCCAGAAAAGGGGCTTTCCGTTTTGCTTAGTATTTGCTTAGTTTGTGCTTAAACTTACCAATACTAAGTCACTATTGAACCCTCAAGTTTTCCCAAAGATGTGCTTCCCCCAAAATGCATTTGTTCTTGTCTAAAAATAAGGTGTTCAAGCTCACAAAGACAAAACACCTTGAAGGGCAGCCCCGCTCATTAACAGAAAACCCCCCGCGCGATTCATCAGGGCCCTTTTGGATTTAAAGCCGGGGCCAGATGTTAGAGGAGGAAGGGGCTTCAGATTAGTCAGGTCCTCCAAACTCAGCTTTTGGGGCGGGGGGGGGGGTAGGGATTGACACTACCTCGGGCTTGCTAGGTCCCAAGTGACTGAATGAGTGTTTCTGCCTTGAGACGAATGTTGCGTGTTTTTTTGTTTGAATGCAGACCTTGAAGAATTCTTCAGCTGTGGTGAAGAGCTGGTGCTTTCTGTGCAGAGGGACCTTGAACTCTACATGGCAACAAATGGACGATCCGTTTCGGTATATGTTTTTTCACCAGCCTTTTCTGGGAGTGTCACAGTTGACCGTTCTTTTTGTTTCCGCTTTTTCTTCCAGGGAGTTTGCAGCATCCCCTCCCTTGGAGCCAGGAAGGCTTCCATGCCGCGAAAGCTTGGCTCGGAGTTGGGGGCGCGAGCTCACCTTTGAGCACCAAAGACATCGGCAGCTTCGTGGGGGAGTGCAACAATGACTCCTGGTTGCTGAGAGGGGAGAAGGGGGCCCAACCAACGGTTTGCGACCAGAAAAAAATGCTTTGCCTTGCATTCCTATACTCAACATTTGGGGGCACCCCGCCTTTGGATTTAAAGGGAAGTAATGCTGGATCCACCATGAAGGGGAGTTCCCATTTCAGGGAACTCCCATTAACGTGGGGGACATACCTGAAGCCACCAAGGACTGGGGCCACTTCAAGAATTTGGAGACGGACAAGATGAATCCCTTCAGCGGCACGGGCGGCTCCATGTCCATTTCCTCCAACCGACTTGCCTATGTCTTCGGCTTCAGAGGCGGGAAATTTTCGGTTTTTTGGCACGAGGATGGAGCAATCCAACACGTTCAAAGAGTTTATCCTTAATGCAGGTCGGTGAGCAAAGAGTGTAGACTGGACATTGTACCAGTCGCTCAGTGGCACCCTGTGAATCTCTTTTTGGCTTGGTGACCAACTCATGACTGTGTCTTTTTTAGGGGACCCACCAAATGGTGGTTGTCCTTTTGCCGTGCCTTTAAATCCCCCGTAAAACAAGTTGCCAGACAAGCATGACGCAGCCCTAAAAGTCCATGGTTCCCGGTCCTTTCCCCTCGGCGGGTGACCCGTGAGGTCCCAGCGTCACCTCGGACACCGCGTGCAGCTCCTCCCTGGTCGCGCTGGACATGGCCTGCGCCAACATCGGCCGGAACCGCTGCAGCGCCGCGGTGTCCGCGGGGGTGAACATGAGCCTTGACGAATCGGCCGATGTGTTGGGTGAAACACAGAAATCGGCCGAGCTTAGATGTGTGTTTTATTTGTTTGTGTGGTTTTGTGTGTTTTGTGTTTGTTTTGATTGAGGAAACGAGAAGGGGATGGACAAATATGTGCTTGTGTTCAGATCTCCTATTAACACTCCCAGTTGTGGGAATGAGGCGTTTGTGCAGGAGGGTATGCAGGTATTGTCAGACATCCTCACAGATGACCTCTAAATGGTGGTTTAAAACCAACGGGACCGCCTCGAATTTCAATTGAAATTTGCCATCAGATGGGGAGACACGTTGTCACAGTTGGCTTATTTCTGTTTAGCTTCAAAAGCCTGCCCAGACGGGGCTCGCCATTTGGGAAAACGTCCAATTCGCCGGCGACTCCATGCGTCCCTGTCTTCCGGTTGGTCTTTTGGAGCGGCCCTCAAGGCTCCGTAGGTTGACGGTTCCACCGAAACGGGACCACCCCAGTTCCCATCCCACCCCAAGCGTTTGGTTCCCAAACAGGACCTTGGGAGTGGGTCGCACGTTCACCCTGAGCTCAAAGTCCAGAAGTCTAGATGGGGATTATTTTGTATTTCTGGTCCTTGGGTGTGGGGAAACCGCCCCTATCCTCCAAACCTCCCAGCGAGGTCTTGTGAGGAAACCACCCAAACCAGAGGGAAGCCGCTTGAGGAATTTGCTGCCTGGGCCCTTCGTGGCCTGCTGCCAGGCCAGGCCAAGCGCCGAAAACGGGGGGTTGTGGGGGCCTACTCAGGGGAGAAGTAGCCCCTTCAAAGTGATCACGTCGTCATATGGGATCCACTCAGGTCGTTTTTGGGGGTATGAACCCACTCAGGTCTTTTTTTGGGGGATGAACCCAACAAAAACGAGGCAACACCCAGAACCAAGCTGATGGCACATGTTTTTTAGGTTTAGCGCTCTCAAAATATAATGGCCCTGGTTGAGTTTCGTTTTGCATTTGCAAGGGGCATATGTTCCAAGGACGCCATGGCCACCAAAGCTTTGGCATCCAAAAATATTGCGACAGATGTGGTTCATTTCTGTCTGGTTTTGTTTGGGGCAGTCCGAAGCCCGACGCTGAGCTTGCAGATTGGTATCGGTTTTCTGTAGTCCCCTGTCGCTTTGTCGTGGGAATAGTGTCACCTGCTCACACTAGCACATGCACACAGTATACATGTGTATATGTATGTATATATATTATACATATGAATACATATTGCCTGCTTACCTCCAACTTCGAAGCATCCTTCGAATCCACGCTCGAAATCGACCAAGACTTGGAGGGTAGGCAGCATTCCACTCTTAAATGCTTCGCGAGGCCAAGATGCTTTCAGAGGGCGGACGCTGCAAGACCTTCGATGCCTCTGCCGATGGCTACTCCAGGGGCGAGGGCGCGGGTACTGTGTTGGTGACGTGGCTGGCGAACCCGGCGCCGGCGGTAGACATGAGCTCTGCACAAATACGCGACGTCACCTTGAAGTTTGCAACGTCCCCCCTGAAGTGTCCTTTCATGGGGGTCCCTATGTTGTTTGTTGGTGAAACATGGTTTGGCTGACTTTGGTTGTGTTTGTTGGTTGGTTGATTGGTTTGCTCTTTTGCTTTTGGTGGGTTGATTGGTTGATCGCTTGCTTGTGTTGGTTTGTTCTGCAACACAACAAATGTTTTGTTTGTTTGCGTTCGTTTGTGTTTCTGTTTTGTTTTTTTGTGTTGCTTCTTTGTTTATTTGGTTCCGTTGCCTCTTTGTGCATTTGTGCTTGTATTTGCTGCTTCGCTGTTGTGGTGCGTTGCTTTGCTTTGCTTTGCGTTGCGTTGCACGTGCGCGAACGTGCGAACGCGCGAGCGCGCGCGCGGGCAGGCGGGCGGGCGGTGGGTGGGTGGGTGGGTGGGTGTTTTTGTTTGTTTGTTTGTTTGTTTGTTTGTCTGTCTGTCTGTCTGTCTGTTTGCTTGTCTGCCAGTCTGCCTGCCTGTCTGTTTGTTTGTCTGCCTGCTTGTGTGTCTGCCTGCTTGTTTGTCTGTTCTGCCTGTTCTCTTTGTCTTGCTGCTTTGCCGTTTTGCTGTTTGGCTGTTGTGTATAGCACTTGAATATTTGTTTGTGCCTCTTTTCTTTGAGTCAAGCCGCTCCTCTTCAAGTGTATTGAGTTCCATGTTTATGCTTCGCCCATCCCAGCCTGCCAAGCCACCGCTTCTAGTCCCATATCTTTTTTTCACAAGCGCTGAGAGCATTATGCCTGCGTAGATTCTGGCTGTGAAGCGGAGGGGCTCACCTGCAGACCCTCGAACTCGGACGGGGAGTTGTTTCACGATGTGCAGCAATATTGTGTTCCTGATTGCCCGCTGTCCAGAACCCTGGAAGCAGTCATGCCAACTTCGAATTAGTCAGCGAAGAAGAAGTTGTTTGAAGATTATCAATCCTCAACAAACAGAGAGGGGTTTCCATTCAACCCCAACAACCAGAGAGGGGTTTTCATTCGAAAATGATCAACCCTCAACAAGCAGAGAGGCCTCGTTTCCATCCCCCGAATGACTCCCGAGGCTTCCTCGTCCAAAATGGACCTCCGAGTCGACGCGAATTCAGGTGAGACGCCTCAAGGAGCTGGAAGATGTGGCCCTTTGCTCTGTGGCAGGCACTGCAGCGAATCAGGACGGGACCGAGGGGCGATCTTTGTGGCAAGGGTGATTGATCTCTGGGTCATAAGAAAACCACTCGGGGACAGCAGGTGTTTGTCCTTATGTCCATGTACCAGGGTTCCATTTTGGGTACCTATGTTTGACCCAGAAATCTAGAGGGGAAAATTGGGTTGCCTACCACACGATAGGAAGTGGAAGCGATGAGTGAGGTTGCAACCAACAATCATGGCGGCCTTTCGGACGTGGTTTGTTCCTGAGTTTCCTGATTTTGCTCGCCTTGAAAAGGAGAAGAGGGCTATGCTTTGAAGAATCCCCCTGATAGGTTTTGTGCTTTGCCCTGACCAGCTGACTGTGGATGATTAGGTTGTTCGCAACCCATTCGAATAGCATGGTTCAAAGCTTGACAAGGGACAAGCCAGATTGGGTGTGCTTGGCACTCCATGAGTCGCCCAAGCGCGGAGCGAGCCCCATGAGTCGCCCCCGGAGAAATATGCCAAGTTGGAGGAGAGGGGTTTGGAACCAAACGAATCGCGTGGCTCAAGTGAGAGGAGGCCTCTAATTTTCGGGAGTGGAATGCCAAGAAATCGTGACGAATTAAGTTCGGCTTGCCGGAGAAAGAACCTCTGATCCGATCCGGGACACCAGCCTCAAAGGCTCGCAACAGAGCACCATGAACAGAACTGACTCGGTTTGCACGTGGATGTAGCGGTTCTTCAATCAGACACCTGTTCGAGATCAACCCCCAGGTTGACATCTAATTTAGGCATGTCTAGCAAGCCAAGAGGAGAAAAACGGTTTACCAGATCCACCTTCCTGTTAGCTTTGGTTGCCTGGTTAAGCCCTGGCGGTTCAATTAATTTGCCCTCCCTCCCTCCCTGTTTCCCTTGTTTGGGTGGGCAACCTGGAATGGTCCACCCCAAAAAGGCTCCCTTACCCCAGGGTCATTGGGCTCGGCCGAAGGACGGCCGCAGCTCCTCGCTGACGGCGCCCAACGGCCCTGCACAGCAGCAGGTGATTTTGACCGCGTGGCAGGAGACATGTTTCGGCCTCGACCAATTTGCAACAAGCGGGGCTTCCCCGAAAGCACTGCAGGAAACATGTACTGTAATGCCAGACCAAAGGCTTGCCTTTCTCACATGTTCTCGTTTGGGTGTGAACCAGCCAAAAAAAGTTCGCTTCTGTGGCCCCCTCACACCGGCAGGGTGGCTTCTACCTCAGCTCCTTGGGTTCGATGAAGATCCGACTGGGATGTGTTCCGCAGGAGGCCGGGGCCAGTCCTGGAAGTGGGGACTACATCGAGACCCACGGCACGGGCACGGGCCTTGGGGATCCCATCGAGGTCGGGGCTTTGTGCAGCACCATGGGCCAGGGAAGGAGCTCCACTCTGCCACCTGGCAAGGGAAGTGGGTGCGTGGCTCGCCGTTTTTGAGACCCTCCTCAGCCTCGGTTTAAAAGGAAACCCAGCGGAAGCTTGTGTTTTTTTTTGGGGGGGGGTCCAAATCGCAAGTTGGACGCATACCCGAAAAAGGTGCTACCCGAGAAAGGTATGGTCAACATTTGTTCCAGCAGTCCGAAGTCGATTCTGGATGGGAGACTCTGAATTCCACACAGCCAGGGGGCACTCGAATGTTTGCTGTCATGGGACTTCCATCCAAACAAAAAGTGCTCATGGGGGAATGGCCTGCCCCAAGTGCATTCAACTGGTGGCCGGACGACAACCTTTTTTTTCCCGTGTGGCTATCTTTCCCCGGCATTTGCGAGACTGTCACGGGATCTTCGTTCACGTGATCCTTCACCTTTGATCTCTTGTCTCCGGCTGGAGTAATTTGCCGAGAGTCACCATTGCCATGTTTGCCTCATTTGTTTGCCCTATCGTTGGGTTCCTTCAGCCTCCCATTGCCTGGAATCGATCAATGGTTCCATTCTGCCAAGAGGAACATGGTTCCTGATGTTTGCTCTTAGGTACGTGTAGGGGGACCCAAAGGATCGGTTTCGTTTTGGCCTCCCAAGCACGAACAGAGGATCCCCCATACCCAGTTGAAGCTCTGCTCAAGGTCTATGTTCAACCCACTTAGTAAAAAACCACCCCCGGTTAATTCCCAAGGTACCTTGCCAAGTAGAGGTTGTAATTTATGAACCGCAGTCTCCCCAGGAACCCTGGGTAGGAGCTGAAGGGGATGAACCGTTTCTTGGGGTCGATCAGGTACGTGGGCGCGGTGAAGTCCAACATCTCGCACCTGGAGGGCGCCGCGGGCATCGCGGGACTGCTGAAGGCCTTGCACGCCATGGAGAAGCGCCAGGCAGCTCCAGCGACTTTTGACGTACCGAGGGCAAATCGGGGGAGCCCCAAATCGGGCGGGTTGCCATGTGTTTCCCCCCCCCCCCCAACAAAAAACATTCCAAAAGGGGTACCGTCATACAACACTTGCAAAAAAAACAAACAAACATTCCAAAAGGGGTACCGTCATAAAAGACTTGCAAAAAAAACCAACAAACATTCCAAAAGGGGTACCGTCATAAAAGACTTGCCGCACATGGGGGTTCGGTCCAAAGTGGTCGCAACTTACGAGCGAAAAATGGGTATGGGTCCAAATTAGAGGAATTGGACCGAAGGTTGTTAGTCCTTGTTTCCATGCCAGGGTTAAATTTGGGGTACCTAGTTTGGAACCACAGCCAATGGACCTCAGCCTGCAAGGGAAATCGGAAGCCAAGCTCCATAAAAGAAACACCACTGGAGGTCTGGGAATCTTCAGTCTCCAGAAGGGACCAGAGCCTGGGTTCATTCCCACATTCCCTACCTATCGCACCAGCAAACCATATGGGTTGTTTAAAAATGGAGGAGTCGACGTGCATCCCTCTGAAGAGGACAGTTCTATAGCTTTTGGAGGCCCGAGCGGACCCCCTTGTTTCCTCCACAACCAAACACCTACGATGTTCACTGTCGGTTGCAGTAAAGTGGATGATGTCGAGTAGGCTCATTTAAAAAAGTACAGCTAAGCACAATTGGTTCAATATCCAATGTCAGCTGAGGATAAGTCAAGTATTTGCCAAACGGTCCACTTCAAGAAACGGTCCACTTCGCCATCGAATCGGCGTCCCGTCCGGTCGAATCAGTCTGGTTCGGTCCACCGATTCGAGGTGCCGCCCAACTTGCACTTGGCTAGCCTCAACCCCCACATCGATGTGGAAGACGTGGACATCAGCTTCCCCACAGAGTCGCTTGTGGAGCTTTCACAGGACTCTAGAAACCCGGAGCCTTTGTAGCTGTGCTACGGGAGCCTCGTGGCATTTGGGCATCAGTTTTATGAGCCCTTGGAGACGCCTCCAGATACATGGGTTCTCGAAATTTGGGGCAAAAAGTGATTGACGTGCTCCTGTTCCTTTAACAGAAGCCAACTTGGGGGTCTCAACAGCAAGACTTACCCACTCCACGCAGCGGTAGGAGTCCCTGCGCAGCTTCGGCCTCTCCTCCTTTGGCTTCGGCGGCACCAACACCCACGTGTCAGCCTTCGCACCGACGGAGAAGGAGGCGAAAGCTGAGCCGCAGGCGGGGCCAGTCGTACCTTGAAGCATCGCACTGCGGCGCCGAAAGGAAACCAAGGGAGGGGACCGGACGTGTAGTCATTTGTTTTTGTCCGAATACCTAATGCCTTGGAAAATGTGTTGAGGCGCCGAAAGAAAACCAAGAGAAGGGGACCGGATGTGTAGTCACTGGTTTGTCCTGAGCCCTATTTAGCACCCAGTTCGGTGCTGCCTGTTGGTCGCTGGAATTCCCAGATCAGTTTCACTGGCAGGTATCTCAAACAAAAAAACTAACTACTAACTAACAAGCAAACAGACAACAGACAAAGTCACCAAAATCAGATAAACCAACAAGCAAACAAGCAAACCAAAAGAGAAACAACACAAAGCACACAACAAAAACGAGCAGACAGACAAACAAACAAACCAGCAAGCAAACAAGCAGACAAACAAACAAACAAACAAAAAAGCAAACAAACAAACAAACACACAAAAAGCAAACAAACAGACAAAGCAAACAAAACAAGCAAAACAAACAAACAAACAAGCAAGCAGACAATCGAACAAACAATAAAGAACAAAATAGAACACAACAACGAGCAGGCAAGCAAGAATCCGAGAGGCAGACAAATACACAAAGCCACAATTCAAGCACAAACACAAACACACGCACACGAACTAACAAACTAACAAACAAGCAGGCAAGCAAGCAAACAAACAACCAAGCAAGCAACCAGACAGACATACAAGCAAGCAAACAAACAAACACAAGCACAAGCACAAGCACAAGCACAAGCACAAGCACAAGCACAAACAACAGACATACACACAAACAAGCACTAGGTGCGAAATGGTAAAGACCGACAGGAATGAGTACCACGTACGATCCGAGTTGTGCAGCTAGGATGTTGAATTCAATCAAACAGAACGCACCAGCTGCCTGCAGGAGAAGATTGTCTTCAACAGGCAGCGCTTCAGCTGGTCGCAGACGAAGCACCCGCTCTCCGTGCAATCCCGCCGAGGCTCGAGTTTTCATTTCGGGCATCTGGTTGAAGATTGATGGACGTGTATCAAAATGTGGAAATAAAATTGATGGGCTTTCTCTCGATTTCCCTTCAAACCAACCTGAATGGGGTAGCGCCCAACAAACATTTGCTCAAAAGTAGCAAGGTGGCCTGGTTCGATAGCAGCCGCACCCCCAGGCAGCTCGGGCCAAAAGCAAGCACAAATCATGTACCTTGTGTAAGAAGTGTACTCGGCTCCTTAAAGACCACTTTTGGTTTGGAGGCTGCCTCTTTCGAAACGGTTCTGCTATTTCTTGTTGGTGTAGCTATGGGCCTGCGTGCCTTGTGCGCCATTGTGTTTTTTCCAGCCTTATTCAACATATGGGCCATTGGGCAACGGACCGGGTGAGTTGCGCTCGCTTGAAACACAACTTGAGTCTCAATTTCAAACCCGGGTCATCGGAGGGTAGGTAAGCGACAATCCCAGCCATCAATGCGTGCGGCCACCTTTTCAATTCTTCACATGGTTCTGGAATTGCCGTATTTTTGTTTTAAACCAGGTGTTGATTATGACTACCTGGGGAGCCAGCGCTACCCGTGAATCAAGGCGAGCCGGGCGTGACGGTCTTCGCAGCGCCCATCAAGGGTAAGGTGCTGCAGCTCTTGTCGCACCACATCATCTATGGCGAGATCGTGGTGCCAGGCAGCGAAACGCAGACTGACTGACTGCGCTAACTAGGAAGCACGATTTGTCGTTTTCCCGAAAGGGAAATCGAAACGGGCCTTGCGTAGGGGGTAAAACGAGCAATTGGCTCATTGCGAAGGTTCTTCATTGGTCCCTTATTTCCTGCTTCGGAACAACAAGCAGTGGATAGTCAGTGTTCATTTGGACATCTCACCGCCGGGAAGTGGAACGTCATATAAACGGAACTAGGTTTTCCCGTCGACGAAAGGGCAAGGCTCCCTTGTTTCAGCCTTTGCTGGGGCCGCGTGATGTTGACCCCCAACCTGGCTTGCTTGCTTGCCTCTGCTTGGTTTGGCGTGTTTGGTTCAGTTGGGTAGTTTGGTGGAGGTTTTGTTTGTTTGTTTGGTTGCTTGGTTGGCTGGCTGGCTGCTTGGCTGCTTGGCTGCTTGGTTGCTTGGTTGGTTTCTTGCTTGCTTGCTTGCTTGCTTGCTTGGTTGGTTGGTTGGTTGGTTGGTTGGTTGGTTGGTTGGTCGGGTCAGTTGTCGGTCGCTCGGTTGATTGGTTTTGTTCTTGCCATGTCGCGTTTCCCAGTTGCCGTCCTGGGCAACGCTGGGTTGCCTCTTGTCTGACTCTCCAACCTCCGAGTCGTAGCAGAAACGAAGCCACAACCTACCACCCAAACTGAAGGACCTTGTCCAAGGGCATTCGTTGTTTTTGCTTTGTGCTTTTGCCAAACATGTATACCCCCCTGAAACTGAGTCCGGAATCTTCTAGGGTACACTTTCCCCAAAACAAGGGGAACTCTCCGAGCGGTCGACCAGAACGCGCCCTGTTGTCTTCCTTGGCCAAGTTTCTACCCTGCAGTTAGGTCATGGGAACATCCCCGGTAACAGCAGCAACATCAACCTGCCCCTGTTTCCCCAAAAAAACGCCTTTGTAAGGCCGTACTCGGAGGAAACTCGGGGGTAGAGGACCACGCCTGGCAGGAGCCACCTATATCGAGATGGTCATTGCTACCTCAGCCTTCCGTTTGGACATGGCGAACAAGAAGTTCGCGCTGGAGAACATCGGGTTTCAGAACCCCCTGGTGCCTCGGTCTGGCTTAGCTTAGCTGTTTAGCATCGTGCATTCATTTTTATGGCTAGTTAATAGGATCGTAGGACTCTAACTTGTTTGTGAAAAGTTTGGATAGTCCATTGGACCCACACAAAAATGAAAGCTTTTGGTAGAGGGGTCTACAGCAACCAAGTGATGGTTTGCCTTTGTTTACCTCTTCAACCAGCCAAAGTTGACCTTTTTTGTGCCTAAAGTCTGGCTCAGGTGCTGCGGCCCTCCAACGACGACAAGGCAGGGATGTTTCGGAGGTACCCAGGTTCAGACGGGAACGCAACGCTAGTTCCCCAGTTAGTTAGTTGCTGAGCAGGTTCTGGATCCAAGGTGCCGGGCTTGGGACTGTTTCAAGGGGAAACTAGAAGAGCAGCACCATGTTCGACTTTTGGAGACAAGGTATCTGATGGTTTTGTTCATGAAGGCAACCTCGAATATCATGACTCCGTGCTGAGGTCAACCCCGAGTTGAATCCGGGCGTCGACCTGTACCTTCAGATTCAGGAGAGATGTGGATGGAGCTAAGGGTCGTGGGAGTGTCATGTTGGGTAGCCGTTTGGGGTTTCTTCAAAGGGGTACCACGCAGTTTGGGGAAACAACAGCAAAAGAACAACTCCAAATTTGTTTGTTGTTGGGTTTAGTGAAGGGGTTGCGAATTGCAAATTCCGCAAATGTATTTGACCCAGCGCTTCCATTTCCCAGTTTTTTAGGATAACCAAGCGAACAACCATCAGAAGACCAACGCGACCATGGCTGGTTCCCTGTCGCGAGACGAGACATCCGAGATCCCATAGGAGAACGGGCGGTGGGCCATGAGCAGCGTGGAGAGCGGGTCCTCAGAGGTGATCAACACCCATGCAGAGGGCAGCTTGAGCTTCATGGGGCCCAAGGCGCGGTTCGGAGAATTGATCGTCGGGCCTATGGCATCGAAAGCGGGCTAAAACCGAACTTGTCATGTGGGGCCTTTACCTGGAGATCCAACGAACTTGTCTCATGATGTGGGGCTATTTACCTGGAGATCACTTGATTTCGGGTTTTGGAATTGTTGCACAAAGGTTGGCTCACACTATGGGGCTTGCCCTGGAGAAGCTGCGGACATGCAGCTCCTCAGCGACCCATGCAGAGGGCAAAATCTCGGCCGACAAGCGCCGTTGCCTTTTGCAGTCCTAGGAGCCCACAACCCCAAGTAGACCCGAACTAATGATTGCAGGGTTCTGGCTGATTGTGGAATTCCAGGCAGGGCTTGACCCCCAAACAAAACAACCCCCCCCCCCCCTGACCCTTCATACGGATCTGGGGTGGTGGGCGAGGCGACGTCCTCGGCAGCGGAGCTTCGGCAGTTGCCGTTGGAGGAGATCCGAGGGCGGTGCCCTGAGGAGGTGGAGGACTCGCGGATGTATGCGCCTGGCTTGGGGTTTCAGGGGGAAAAAAGGAGGGGAGGGCGGCGGGGGTGAGAGGAGTGGGGGGGATTGAGGGGGCCGGAAAACCCAAACAAGAGGGAGTGAGATGAAGGGTGGAATGAATTGAAGTGGGTTGAGTGGTTGGAGGGGGTGGAAGGAAAGGATAAGGTTGAAGGGGTTGAAGGGGTTGAATGGGGTTGAATGGGGTTGAATGGGGTTGAATGGGGCTGAATGGGGCTGAATGGGGTTGAATAGGGAATGGTTGAATAGGGAATGGTTGAATTGGATTGATTGGGGTTGAAGGGGCTGAAGGGGGTGGAAGGGATTGAAAGATGTGCGCTGAATGGGGGTGGGGCTGATTGGGTTGAAGGGTTTGACGAAGTCGAACGGGAAGAATGGGGTTGCTTGTTGAGGCGGGTCGAGGCTCGGTGTGCTTAGCATTTTGTTGTTCCTGCTTATATCATTCGCTAGTAGATGCAAAATAGGCGACAGACGCGTCCAGGAGGGGCAAGGTGTGGCGGGAATGATAGACGGAAAAGTGGTTGAGGGACGATAAATTAAGGTCCAAAAGTCGTGATCCATGTATGCGGACACTTCCTGACCTGTGATTGCAGCATGCCATAGGATGATTTTTGTTTCGCTATATCTGTTTGTATGTCATTAGTCAGGCAACCCTCAATTGGTGCTTTGGATTGGTGGTTTGGGGGATTGAACCCCTGGTTCTTGAGCCCCCTTGCTGCCAGCCAGCGTCAGTGCGGACCTTTCTACTTCAAGCGCCTTTGACCATCGCCGCCTCGAGCATTGCGATTTCGGATCGATGGCAGCGGCTCGATCCGCCGCAGCACGCACTCCGCGCGGCTCCGCACGACTCGATCCGAGGTGCCCTTTGCCAACATCGGGCTGCCGCTGCAGCCCCGCTTCCGCACGGTGCGCACTATCAAGCGCTCGGAGGAGCGGATCTTCAGTCAGGGCCGGGCGCCTGCATGTGCAGCGGGCGTGAGGGATCCGCTCGTTGGAACCCGGCGAAAGGTAGAGGTTTGGGGGCATGGTCCGAGTTGATCCAAGCCTCATGTGTAGTTTGACGGCGCAAACAACCATACCTGGTGGTTTCGTTGGTATCGTCCATGAAAATTGTTACCAGACATGCATCAGGAGGCCTGCTTGTGGAAGGCGTTTGGACCTTTGGACCTTCGGATCGTCCTGAGTGAAGCATCTTTGTCGAAGGGACGGTGCAATGATGCTTAGGGTTGGATTAGTTGATTTGAGAAATCTCAAGAAATTTGGCAGCGGTGTTTCGCCAAACTGGTTCCAAAGCCTAGCAAGGCTTTGGCTCCATTACTTGTTTGGGGATTGGACCCTCTTTTTTGGGCAACCTTCCGTCCATATGCATCCTTTTTGGTTGGTTTAACTTGGAAAATCGAGGGCCCTGGTTTACCTGGTGGTTCAATCATCTACAAGGGAAAGTCATCTATTTTCCATCAAGGACGCCCATGCTTCCGTCAGCTTTTCCGGGAGTGCAAACCTTCCGGCTAGGACGAGATCATCGCCTGGGTGGCGGCTCAAGAAGACGGCACCAATGCGGGCTTCGTTTTCGGCATCTTGGGTCTATTGATGACCTCCGAGTCGGTGAGCCACATATCAGAACCGTTTCGGGTAGATGAAGGACAAGGATGCCGCCAAATAGGTGTGGGCGGGAAGCCTTTAGATTCTTTGCATGTTGTTGGGTCAACCCCTTTGATCAGGTTTTGATGACTGGGGTGATCCCTGGGTGTCAATGTCTCCATGTTGCATTCAATCCAGAGTGGGTGCGGGGTTGAATATGAACATTTTGACATCTCCCTGCGCTTGTATTGTATGCATCAACTGCTTGTTGAAGGTCGAAGGAGAAATTCAGGGATCCCTCTTACCAATCGGTTGGCACCCCTTTCTCAACTCGGGTATGCAATTCCCATAAGCGTCCTTGCTCGTTTCATGGGAATGAACATAGATGGATTCCACTGGATAAGTTCAGTTCCAGTCATTTCCCAGCGCATCCATTGTCCAACAGGACACCTAGGCTCTGAAGCTTTTTCGGCTGCCCTGAGCATCACCAGGCAGTTCCAGGGTCGCGGTCCTGAAGACAGATGTCTCGACTCGCATTGGAGTGTGTGGAATTTCATGTTGAGTTGGTTTTCAGGAGAGTGCGCCCCTGTTTTGGCACAAACATGTACATGTTATCAGGCTGTTCGGCGCAGGAGAAGTTGCACATGCCACTTTTGCACTGGAATTCGAGTTCAATCCTTTTACAGCCAATTGATGCATCGCGTTGTTGCCACGTTCGTCTACATCCCAAGTGTTTTTCCCTTCGACGGGGTGATCTTTATTGGCAAGTCCAGAGACCCTGTTTAATCTCCCCGAGATTCGATGGCTGCAGGATGTCACAGCCATCGAATCTGGTTCCGATTGCAGCTTTTGGCGCCTTATGGCCAGGCCTTACGGTGTCCAATTTCAGCTAAATTTACTTTGAGACCGACATCTTCTATGTTCGAGTATGTCCCTTTTGGGGAGTACTCTTCGTGAGTTACGTTGACGGGAAACCAACGGAAGGGGGACGGCCCTTTTGGGGCCACTTTCAGAGATATGCTTGGAAACGTGCATGTGCATGTGTGCGTGCGCATTTGTGGGAAGGATGATCTTCCCCTTTTGGATCGGTTTAAGAGAGAGCCAACATGCCAACAGGAGGCTGACCAGTTTGGGGCCAATTCCTAATTTGAGATATAGTTGAGACCCTATCAATACTTGCAATCCCATCAGTTCGACTCATATTTTGGCTGTACCCATAGTTTGACACCTCGAGTAGTGAGGTCCTGCCGTGATTGACGGCTCCTTCCAAGCCAGCTGCGCCTTCCAGAATCTCGAGGCTCGATCCGACCTTGGCCTCCCTGCCCCCTGAGCGCCCAGAGAAATTCCTAGATATTAGCTTCCTCTGATTGACATGGAACCCAAAAACACGAAAAAGCTACCCGGGAGTCTCCTTTTGAGGAAGGACCTTCGATGATTGTTCAAAGTGGGGCGCAGGCCAAAGATGGTCACTACCCTTGTTCCAATTTGAAGTGAACAGGGGGCCTTGTTCAGATGACAGTATTCCAAGTTCCAAAGATGGTATCCGAGGGCTTTGCCAAAGGACTCTTCACTGCGGGGGGGAGGGGGTGTTCCGTTTAGACGAGGAAAAAGCCCGCGTACAACAAGACAACAACACAAACAGACTACATACAAGAACATCCACAACGTCCGCCGGCGGATTTCACACATGCTCATTGACCCCTGGACATCACATTGGCAAACGGCTTCTTGTTCCCAAAAAGAGCAAAACAAAACTGAAGCTCTCTGGGGAAAGGAACACTAAACACGTGTTCTCTTACTCCTCAACGAGACGAGGTTTCTCTCCCAAGCGCGGCAGCGGCTTTTGTCTCAGCTGGTTGGTTTGGGACAGCCTGGCTTTGGCAGGTTCCTGGAGGAATCTCGGCATGGGACACTTCTTGGGCTGATTTCTTGCCTGGCTGGGCATTCTTTGGTGGCTTTCATGCAAGTCGGTTTGAGGGTACCCCCCACCCCCAAATCTTCAAACACCCAATGCAAACCTTCCACACACTTCCTGAGTTCCTGGACATTAAACTTTTTGGGAAGACAGTTTTAGTGGTAAAATAGACGGTTTGGACTGTTTTGGTCCGATCCACTCAGGAAGTGAGACCAAGTAGAGGGTACCAAGACGATCCAACTCATCCGCGAGGCCCTCCCGAGCCTGCGCATTCCCCTGTCCATCGACCGGGTGCAGATCTTGGGCCAGGGTTTCTCCCAGAAGGCGAGCCTGGTTCGGGGCTTCGGAAGGAGTGAGGGGTGGGTGGCCGGTGAGTTCGGGGAGTGGCTTCGGGACGTTTTGAGCCAAGTTTGAAGATCTGAGTTGTGGCTGCAACGAGATGGTTCAGCGCTTCGTGCGGGTTCACTTGAGACCCCTGGTTTCGAAGGCAATGCTTTTTGGAGCAGCCACCCCAATTTGCCGGCCTGGTGCAGGCCGGGAAGAAAAGGTTGGAGCATTGGTTTTGCATGAGCGTTTTGCAAGGAAGGCCATGTTGAACATTCTGGGGCATGCAATAGCGGGGGAGATCTTGGCGATGTCATAAAAAGATCGCAACCTCAACTATCGACAAAGTTCCTTTAGAGGGGATTGCCTTTTGCAGGTGAGTGAATTGGTTTGACCAGATCCATGGCTCTCCTTGAGAGTTTTAGCGGAACCCCAAACTCAACAGAGGCAAACCGTGTAAAAGGCTGTCTTTACCCAAATTATATCTCAAGAAAAAACTATTGGAATCCTTACGTCACGGATTGTTTTGGGCTCGACCATTCCAAAGGGCCCAAATACATTCTGGTAATGAAGGCTCCTTCCATAACCCTTCAAACCTGTTGAATTGTCAGATGCGGGTGGTTTCCGCTGGATGCATGTGAATTCATCTACATGTGAGGTGTGGGTGCACCACGTTCTTCTGGAGAATGGCGAGAAGCAGATGGCTTCCGGGCAGCAGATGAAGGCTTTCCATTTGCGTTTCAGAATATGTGCTATTTACCCCTGTTGGTTTTAAAGGGAATCTATCACTACTGGATGTGTCTTCTTTCCAGGGGGCTAAGCAATTGGAGGTTTCTTTCCGTGGCTCATGTGAGGTCTTGGCTCCAAACCAAGCATGGCTGCGCAGCCAAGGCAACGACCTGGTTGAAAGTTTGGACCCAATTTCTCGCATCACAGAGTTGAACAGCTGGAAGAAACACATCGATTGCCATGATTCGAGGAAAATTGGTTGAACTGGTGTTCGAGCTACTGAGGGCTCTTATCGGGAGATCCATTCTGGGGCTAGAATAGTTCAGAGGTGAAACCCTTTTATGGATCCCGCCAGCCGGCTTGAAGTTCCAGCGGAGCTCAAAAGTCCCAACGTGAGTTGGGCCAGGACTTGTCACAAAGAAAGGGGCCATACTCAGACCTGATACAAAGCCCGCTGCAACCCCTGGAACAGTTGGCCTTACTTCAAGCACTGTGCTTCCAATTACCATTGCATTAGGGGAAGCCATCTCAGGTAAAGCACCTGGTTACAAAAGCGGTAGCTGACACCGAGCAGTGTGGCCGGCACCTGCCCCGCACCCACTCAGGAGACAAATGTGCAGCTGGCCAGGGATGACTTGACCATCGTGATGACGATGGACTGCTAGTTTTCTCAACTTGATGCGTGTCCTGCATGAACACCACGGACGCAAGCCGTTCTCCCCATGGTTTTTGCAAGTTGAAATGGCTGGAGTGTAACGGCAGGATCGGATGCGTTTGCGAGAAGTACGACCAGAGCACATTGCAGCTTGTCTCAAAGTCAGACATGCTAAGATGCCAGCGGCGTGCTCGGAGCATGTTTGGCTCACTTGGCTTGGGCATGCGTTTAGTGCTGGCGGTTTTTGGCATGGATCCGAGGCCAAGATGTTGGCGGCTAGCGCTGGTGATGCAGATGAGGACGGCTTGCTTTCACCTTCTGAGAGCTTGTCCTTCCCACCTGGGCTGGAAAGAAGCTTTGAGTACTTGCGGTGCCTGATACAAATGGCTGCGCTGAGTCTTTTTGCTCGGGACTTCTCGTGTGGGGAAGAGTTTCAAAGGCAAATTACAAGGAAGCCATGTCCATTGCGGGGGTCCAATTCCCATATTGAGACATTTGCCAGATCGATACCATTCCGGTCACAGGACCTTCTGGAAGTGGCTTGGGTGCCTCTGGAGAAGGCACCTGCGCAGGCGGGCATGCTTTCGGTTTCCGAATGGCTACCTTTGTTGCTGTTGGCTGGTTTTTGTTTGGGGTTGCGAGGTGTTAGGGAGGGTGCAGGTTCGTTTCTTCTATTCTCAGACTGAGTTGGCATTTGTACCTTCCCACGGATATTTAACAGCCAGGTTGAACATTTTAAACATACAAGGAAGCCACTTTCGCGCGTGTGAACTTTGGAGCCCTCGATTATACCCTAACAGCACTTTAGTCCTTCTGTTGTGCCGTAGACCCCAAAATACTATCAGCCCCCAAAATTGGCTTTCCTTTCCCATGAAATGCCAACAGGGTTTCGCATATTGGGAGACTCACATGAAATCGACCCTAGAAAGGCAAGGTATAACCCACAACAAAAGGTTATTAGGGGACCCCACGGGAAAAATATGGGAACCTGACAAAAAATCGGCGAAGGCGGTTTGTTTCCGGCGCCCATGGAAGACTCAGCGCCCCCATGGCACCTCCGACCCCCCCCCCCCCCCTCCCCCGTGGCTGCGCTACACGCCTTACGCCGTCGGCTCGAGAGGCGGACGCCGCGGAGGTTCCGCTCTTCGTGGGCGCCACCGAGCTGCAGCCGGCGCTGGCGGCGGAGTTCCCGGGCGCCGGCTTCGTGGATGGAACCAAGGCGCGGTGGTTTCGCAGAGAAAGGTCAGCCCAAAGCTTCCCCAGAATGAGCTCCTTTTTTTTGTTTTTTGATTTTTTTGTGGTCCCTTTTGTTTTCCACTAACCAGGCAAAATAGATGTTTTTTTGCTGGGGTCCTAATTCCAGCCTAGAAAATAAGAGTGGCACCTGGATTCATGCCCCCCTAGGCAACCCTTTAGAAACTTTAAGTGGCAACTGCATCTCAAAAGTGAGTTGGCGGACATGAATTTCCACATGTTTGATGGTTAATGTGAATGTCACACCCACCTGGGAATACTGGTGCACTAGCGACTGAGCCCGAAATCCTTGACTCTGACGGATGCCCACTTTAGAATCCTGGACAGAACATATTCATAAACCCGCCTCATTTATTTGGAGGGTCTATTAGTAAACCCGTCCTACTAGTAGAACCTGGACAGAACGGGATGAATGAGCCCGTCCTATTTGTTGGAGCGTGTTCCCTCCCCGTGATCCGGAGTCCTGGCGAAGGGATGCCCGCAAAAAATCCCCCGAAAATGGGGGGGGTAAATGATCCGTTTAGGGGGATCAACGGGAAGCAAGCAACCCCCTATTCATCAACCAGGGGTTTCATCATCCGGGGTTAACGTCACTGAAAAAGACAAGGACAACTGGGTAAGTCCCGTGTTTGGGACATCTAGGAAGCCCCCCGCCCGGGTCCTGCGAGCTTGGCGCAAGCCCCTTTTTCGCTGTAGGCTGAAGGGTTTCGTGGTAGCCTCATGTTCTGTAATTACTGGTTGCACGGTTGAGCAAGGAAGAGACATATAGTTGCAATGTATATATATATATACAATATAAGCATAATCTCTCTCTATATATATATTATAATGACACTATATATGAGATGATTTAAACTATATAACAGATGGTTTCAAAAATGTGTGTATACATATACATATATATATATATTATTATTATTATTATTATTATTAGTATTATTATTATTATTATTATTATTATTATTATTATTATTATTATTATTATTATTATTATTATTATTATTATTACTATTATTATTATTATTATTGTTATTGTTATTGTTATTGTTATTATTATTATTATTATTATTATTATTATTATTATTATTATTGTTATTATTATTATTATTATTATTATATACATTGACCCCCCCCCCAAAAAAAAAACATGCCAATTACATTTTCGCTAAATAATGTATATATAAATAAACAAATGAATTTGACATAAATATGTATATATATATACATACAGTTACATACATATACATATTCTATATGGGTGCTCTTTGGGTTCCTTTTTTATGGTTGTCTTCTTCTACCCTTGTGCAAGGGATTGCGGAGCAACGCCGGAGGCAACCCCCCCGAAACAGCTTGGTTTGCTAGTGCCACTTATATTTGTGGGCCGCGTTTAGTCGTTTTGCCAAGGTGGATTCTACGGTTTCGGCTCGGTTGGTCAGTTTGGTTCTCAACATGTACTGCCCCTGTCCCAAACCGCTTCCCCAAAAACAAGGAAGCTCTAGAGAACCTGAAAGTTCCCCCCCAAACAACCCCTGCTGCACTGGTGAGGAGGCTAGAACCTGGCTAGATCGAGAGTAACCCCCCCCAACTTTCCCAGTTGCTAGGTGAATTCACTTACTTCCCTGTGGGTCAAACATCCCAGTAGTAAACCAAGAAGCAGGAATCCTGTTAATCGTTGGGTTCCCCTTTTGACGACTTTCTCCCAACGGGTACCCCATAAGCAGCCGCTCCTTTTTGTCCCGGCAACCCACAACTTGCGGAGGTTGTGGAAATTTTGGTCAGGTTGGCCAGTTGTGTTGAAAAAACATGTTGGTCCCACATGGACGAAATCCTGCACCTAAGAAACCCTGGAATGTTGATTCTTTTGTAAATGCCAACCAACCATGGTTTCAACCATGGTTTCTAAGTGGTGCAAAATGGATTTCGTCCATCCACAGTATTGTTCACCCCATCTGCAGGAGGCTTTGGAGCAGAAGTTGAAGGAGCCAGGCTTCACGGCGATTCTTCACGTGGCCGCCCTCGAGGATTGCCCGGAGATGGAGGCGGGTTGCTGAGAAAAAACATGGGCGCTACATGGCGAAGGCTTTTTGAAGGGTTTGCCACAAATCGGGGACCCTCAAAAATTGTGGTTTTCCTCGGGTTCCCTTTGAAAAGCATCCCAAAAGGGGCACCCTCAGAACAAGTTGAGCAGTGGAGAGATTTAGGTCCCCCGGGTCCAGAACCACCAGACAGGCTTAGACCCGGGAGCCGAAGATGGGACACGGGATTCGGGCAAGAAGGAACACACTGCAAAGGGGTTCCAGCATTGAGGTTGACAGGCAAGTGAGTGACGAAGGCTTCGTGATAGCATGAGACCTTCTTGGAGACCTGATTTTCTGCCCAGCAAAGTTTGGGCCACGGGTGGAAACTGAAGGCTGCCTCGTCTCACAAAACTCAAGGCTAAATCTTCGACTTTTGGCCAATCCACATGGGAAGTGAGAACTGGGGCCCTGAGCTATGATACTATGTTTGCTTGTTCAAGGTTGCAGCGATATCAATTGCTGGTTGCTTGCGGCATGTAGTTGAGCTGATCCCGGTGCCCTGATGTCGCTTTTGGTTTTGTGAACATCAGGCTGGTCGATTAAATGTAAGGTTCTGTTGTTTTTGGGGATGTGCAAAAATCAACTAACTTCAGGGAAGCCTGGAGTTGTCAAATGCATATTGCTATTCGACACATGCCTTCAGCTTTCTCTTTGGTTTGACGTATTTGTATTTTTTGTCATGTTCCTTTGAACATGACCACACTTTCTGCAATTCAAACAAAGACAGGGCACGGACTGTCTGGGGGAGGTGCCAAAAAGCGGACAAGTTGCTGTGTGTGGATACATTCTTCAAAGGGGTCCCTTGGTTTGCAAACTGAAGCGGTCAATTGGCGATGTCTCATGTCCGGCTTCCAGAGGCTCTGCAGTCCGCGCTGTACCTGGCGCAAGCTGCCATGCAGAAGACCGCGGACAAGTCCACCGTTCCGGGCATCTGGTGGGTCACGAAGGGAACGCAGGACCAACAAATGATGTGTTGCGCGTTTGCACGTTGGAGCACATGTTTCCTTCAGAGACCTTTCTAAATAGTGGTTATACAGACATATTTATACTACATGGTATATATATATATATACAAATCTATGACAAGTATCAATATGTACATGTATGATGGTTTTCAGGCAGAACACTGAAACCAGCTGTGATGGGATGGGGCATTTGTTTCCTTTCCGGTTCCTCAGGATCAGGTCACCCGGAGCTACCTGCATGCGGGGCTCTGGGGCTTGGCGCGGACCTTCCGCATGGAGGAGCGCTCTGTACAGCTCAGGCGCAGGGACAGACAAAAACCCAAACAACGCACACACACACACACACCACACACACACAGCACATCATGTGTATAAACACGTGTATATATATATATATGTATATGTACATGTAGATAGATACATGTGTATACATATATATATATGTATATATATAAATACATGCACATATATACATATATAGATATATATACATATATATGCATATACATATAGACACACATTGTTGTGACATCCAAACTTTCCACTTGGATGTTCAACCCGTTTAAGTCGCAACCAAGGTCATGACTGGGGCATCTGGGTTTCTTCAGGTCAAAAGTACAAGTCGTCGTCGTCGTCGTCGTCGTCGTCGTCGTCGTCGTCGTCGTCGTCGTCGTCGTCGTCGTCGTCGTCGTCGTCGTCGTCGTCGTCGTCGTCGTCGTCGTCGTCGTCGTCGTCGTCGTCGTCGTCGTCGTCGTCGTCGTCGTCGTCGTCGTCGTCGTCGTCGTCGTCGTCGTCGTCGTCGTCGTCGTCGTCGTCGTCGTCGTCGTCGTCGTCGTCGTCGTCGTCGTCGTCGTCGTCGTCGTCGTCGTCGTCGTCGTCGTCGTCGTCGTCGTCGTCGTCGTCGTCGTCGTCGTCGTCGTCGTCGTCGTCGTCGTCGTCGTCGTCGTCGTCGTCGTCGTCGTCGTCGTCGTCGTCGTCGTCGTCGTCGTCGTCGTCGTCGTCGTCGTCGTCGTCGTCGTCGTCGTCGTCGTCGTCGTCGTCGTCGTCGTCGTCGTCGTCGTCGTCGTCGTCGTCGTCGTCGTCGTCGTCGTCGTCGTCGTCGTCGTCGTCGTCGTCGTCGTCGTCGTCGTCGTCGTCGTCGTCGTCGTCGTCGTCGTCGTCGTCGTCGTCGTCGTCGTCGTCGTCGTCGTCGTCGTCGTCGTCGTCGTCGTCGTCGTCGTCGTCGTCGTCGTCGTCGTCGTCGTCGTCGTCGTCGTCGTCGTCGTCGTCGTCGTCGTCGTCGTCGTCGTCGTCGTCGTCGTCGTCGTCGTCGTCGTCGTCGTCGTCGTCGTCGTCGTCGTCGTCTATGACCCATTTGCGAGGGACATGGGGGGGACCCACTCGATTTCCCCGCAAAAACCAGAAGACTCACTAAGTGCCCCTTGTCCTTTAGGCGGACCCCGCGTCATTTTGACCGAAAATCATGCATGAGGTGCTTGGACCTGGATGGCTCGCTGGAGACCAAGGAGGCGCTGTGTGGGGAGCTGAAGGAGTGGCTGCGGAAGCTCAAGGGCACGGAGGCCGACTGCACACTCACATGGTAGAAATGGGTATGTGCCAAGAAAAGGGGACAGCCCTTCCTGAAAAGGGTGCCCTCTCCGGAAGAGAAAACAGACCCACAACATGACAGAAATGGATGTCTGCACGAGGTTGTGGAGGCCGCCTCCTTTGCTTTCCGGTTGTTGTTTAAAGTGAAACGAAAAGGAATCCCTGAGGACCCTAACTTGGAGATTGTTTTTCAATATGAGTCACTGACATCACATACTGGAGGTATCAAATTCACGATACCACGAGGACAAGAGGTTATACCAAATTCCCAAGTCAGTCAGGAACACACAATGGAGACTGACTGGGGCTCCTTGAATAGAGATCGGACGTTCATGGACCCCTTGGGGAGTTTAGTCAACCAAGCGGTCCGATCAAGGGAACCCAAACCGCCCAAGGACTTGTGGCGTTGTGGCTGTGGCATGGACTCCAATTGAGTATTTCAATAGGTTCTACCTCTGCCAGGTTTCTCGGGGGTCCGAGTGATGTTTCTATAGAAAGCTTCACCATTCTGAACTGACGGACTTCACTCGCATCCACAACCTCCCCCCCCCTCCCCAATGCAATCCTAACCCCGCGCACCCCCGGAAATGTTTGCTTTCCTCCAAGTTGACCTGCAAATTCGTCAAAGGGGCTTACTTTGGTGGAACGGGGGAAGGGGGGCAGGTTCTACACTTCCTTTAGGTCCCGGACTCTTCCGGACTCTTCCACCGCCCACCAGCTTCTGGGTAGAAAAAGAGAGAAGGTGTGGTTTGAGGGTTTCTTCCACCAAATCACTTGGTTTCCTTTGAAACCACCATTCACCGGGCTGGTTTCCCTTGACCCCGGCAAATTCAGCGGCGAATGTCCACGGCGCCGCTTCCTTTTTTCACCCGCCAGGTGGAGACGGAGGTGGCCGTCGCTTCTGGGGAGGCCAACGTGAGTCGGCTCCAGCGGGCGAGCGCCGTGCCGCTGAAGGCGCAGGAGCTGCTGATGAGCTCCCGGGGCAGCCTCTCCAATCTCAGGAGCGCCCGAAATCTGAGCGATGAACGCGCTCTGGAGGGGCGTGCGGGGAGGGGCGCGCGCGGGGGGCGCGGGGAGGGGCGCGCGCGGGGGCTAGGTCCCCCAGCGAGGTGCCAAGTTTTACCGTTTCTTTTTTGGGGGAGGGTTCCCCTACTAAAACCGACTACAGAAAAAAGGGTACCCTTATTCTAACCTCTCTACTGGAGGACCTAGCGGGTCCGGGTGTTCTTGGAATCGGTGCAATTGGGAATGACAAAAGGCGAGTCTGATTTTTGTAAATAAAGGCGGAAAAGTGTCGAAACCTGATCAATCCACGGGTGAAATCCATGGGAATGACACAAAAAATGGGTCCGGGTGTTGTTGGAATCGGTGCTGACAAAATCGAGTCTGATTTTTGTACATAAAGGAGAACCCGTGCCCGAAAATTGATCGATCCATAGGTGAAATAGATGGGGAACGACTCAACGAGTCCTAGTGTTGTTGGAATCGGTGCGATTAGGAATGACAAAAAGCGAGTCTGAATTTTGTAAATAAAAAAGCGCCCGAAACCTGATCGATCCATGGGTGAAATAGATGGGGAATGACTCAACGAGTCCTGGTGTTGTTGGCATCGGTGCGATAGGGAATGACAGAAAGCGAGTCTGATTTGTGTAAAGAAAGGCGGAAAAGTTTCGAAACCTGATCGATTCATGGGTGAAAGTGAAATCCAGCGGGGAATGACTCAAAAAGCGGGTCCGGGCGTTTGAATGAACCGGTTTGGGGATTCCCAAAAGCAAGCACAAGTTGGGTAGTTTATGGGTCAGTCCCTCATTCCCTGCTGAGAACCAGCAAGGAAATGGAAACAGGCGATTGCCAGACTTGTCTAGCATTGTCTAGCCTTTTTGCCCAACTTGCGCCCTGTTGTCTTTCCTTCATTGTTTGCCAGCAAGAACAGTTCGTGGTTCGACCGGGTCCAGCCATGTTTCGGAACATGTAGATGTGGGAAAGCAAGAAGTGAACGCACAAATCGAGAAGTGTAACAAGATTTTAGGCGTTGCTAAGGGTAACGCTTTGTACGTGACTTAGACTTCTTCGTGCAAGCAAACCGTATGTCATGGCGCTTTTGTTTGCCAACAACGGGGAACCCTTATGCGGGCCTGGTCATGCTTGAAACACATAGTGTGCACCTCAATAATGGATCAATTCCTCCAGGTGGCTTTTTGGTTCCCTTTACCCTCCAAAGGGGTCCCCAGTTTTAAGAAACACCCAATCAAACTAGGAGACCCCGAAAAATTGCTGGGTTCTCTTCGGTGTTTGTTTAAACCAACCCAAACAGGGTACCCTGAGGCAAAATCACACCCGTGTGTCCCATACAATTGTCAAAACACCCCTTTACTTGGGGTTGTTAGGGATGGTCATGGACCTTTAGGGGTTTTAGACAACCAATGCAAGGATTTTGACCATAGCGCATCCTTTCCCCCGGCGCCAGGCCAGTGCTGCAGGAGACCCGCAAACCCCCTTCGTCCATGGAGGCGGAAATCCGGGTGCGCGCGGTGGGCCTGAACTTCCGGGATGTGCTGAACGTCATGGGTGCCTTAGCAAAGAACGCGGCAGCTACGGTGGTTGGTCTAATCTAGTTTGGTGTGATTTTGTTTTTTGGGTTGATGTTGCTTTTGTTGTTTGTTTGGTTGTTTGTGTCTGTGTGTTTTGACCATGGGTTTCACAGAACCCTTGTTTTAGCATGTTCAAATATCTGTTGTTAAAACATGTTTCTTTTGGGACCAGGGTTTGGTTGTTTCAAGAATCAACAAGGGTATGATAACCTCAAGAGGGATACCCCCTAAAAGAGGCCATTTACCACCATGGACTCCCTTAGTTTTCCAAACGGAAGCGTCAACCGGTGAGAATAAACAAGCCAGCTGCCCTTTCATCACAGGAGGATGGAGTGGGCACCTTGTGTTCAGAAGTTCGGCCTGTTTGAGGTTTCAGAGATCAGTTAGGTCCCACCCAACCTTTTTTTGGGCAGTGACATGATGATTTGCCAAGATTTTCAGGATGGTGGTTGTTTGTTTCTTTGTTTGTCCGTCTGATTGTCTCTCCGTCTGTTTGTCTGTTTGTTTGTCTGTCCATCCGTCTGTCTCTCTGTTTGTTTGTCGGTCCCTTTGTCCGTCTGTTTGTCTGTCTGGCTTGCTGGTTGATTGGTTGGTTGGTTGGTTGGTTGGTTGGTTGGTTGGTTGGTTGGTCGGGCGTTGGGCTAAGTTAGGTTTGGTTTGATTGATTGTGCGTGTGTGTTTTTGTTATTGCTTGGTTAGTTGTTTTTTGTTGGTTTGGTTCGGGTCGATTTGGTTGGCTTGCCTGCGTGTGCCCTTGCTTCGCTTGCCTGCTGGCTTATTTGTTGGACACTTCTTTCTTTTGTTTCGGCAGGCGTTCCGTTTGCCAAGCTTTGGGCCAGTCCCAAAGTGAAGAGCACCACACTCCACACCTGCAGTTAAAAAGAAACCAGACCGAGACCACCGGAGTTGAAGTTGATTGGTTTTATCCGAGTTGAGGAGCGCATCGTGCTTCCATTGCGAATATGAGAGACGAGGGACCCTCCGCCAACAGGCACGACATCCCACATGTGGACTCCTGGCTACCGTCCAAAGGGCACCTGCCAGGTTCTGTTTGGGAGAATGGCGACCTCGTCTCGTCGGCACTGGTAGGGCCATCGAGAGCCATCGAGAGCCATCACTGAGGTCTTTACCCTGGGGATCCGGGGCCACCTGGCGCAGACAGCGCAGGCGCCTTCCCGCGCCAAGAGGGGGTCTGGTCTCGGCCCATGTTTCAAGAGGGTCTCAAGACGTTCTTGCTGCTTTTGTGCGATCCTTTTCACAGAGGTCTTTGTCGGTGCTGTGCCAGGAACATGTTTGGAGCCTTTGGCTGCGATCGGAGTTCTGCTGCAAGGGATAAAGCGGGCACCGGTTGAAGGCACCGTCCTCTCCGTGGGCTCGGAGATCACGCACATCCGCCACATGGCGTCAATGGGGCGCAGGTCTGCAAGCCAGTACGTAGTCTGATCCATGCTTGGGCTCTGAAAAAATGTTCAACTGCAAATACTGGAGTCAAGTTGCTTCGGTAGAGGACCCTAATTTTGTGAGTGAATGTCCGAAACTCGCGGAGTTTGTTCGGCGAGGTCGGGGCGACGACGTCTTCGGAGAGTCCCCCGGGTGTTTGCGCACCTACAACTCCGGCAAAGCCGCGCTGTTGTCCCCGAAGCCCCGGTCCTGGTCCTTCGAAGAGGCGGATGGCTCCAAAGCGGCATGTTTGTCCACCTTGAGATTAGTGTCCAGAGGCGTTGATAGCTCACTTCCTGAGTTCCGGAAGGCCATTTGAGTGGCAAACAAACAAGTTTGGGCTTTTTGGGCCAAGCCACTCAAGAAGTGAGACAAAGGATATTCTGTATTCCTCTACAAGCTCAGATTTGCGTTCCATATGCTTCTCCAGAGAGTAAGATCGCAGGCGTGCTGCATGCCTGTGATCTTCGTTACAGTGGAGGAGGCTCGGGACGCCGGGCGATCAGCTTCCCTCTCAGTGGTTTGGCTGGGTGGTTTCCCATTTACCCTCTTCAAGAAACGAGGGTTCAAGTCCCGCCACCAATCCAAACCACCTTTCAGTCCAACCTCCTGGAACCTGCCGCTCATTCAGGACTGTCTGACTCCCCATAGCTGTTGCTGTTGGGAATAGAATGGCATGGGTCGCCCCATGTTCTCATTGCATACAAGAATTGCTTACGTAAGGCTACATCTTGGCGCAGGCATCTTATAATTTGCGTTCTGTTTCAGGATGTCTAAGCCGATGTTGGTTCACTCATCACACAATTATCATCTCGAACTAAGATGAGATTGAGCACTTCATTTTGCAAGCGTGACTCCTTGAGCATAGTTGATTTGGACACCCTCATCTCAGGAAAACGACCGCTGTGAAATGATTGGTGAGTTGCAGCATGTCGGGGAAGGGGGAGGAGGGGGCAGACCTTTTCAAAAATATATCCTGGCGGCTCCCGTGCCTGTGATGCACATACTGAACAGCTCAGCGGTGCGTACAGAGCGCGATGTGTGAATATTCAGAGATCCCATTCAGGCACAACATGCAACTGTTTCAGCACCAACTCTTTCAGGAAGTCGATCAAACATGCAGTACATTTATCTGCAACCCATCCATGCAATACGAAAGGCAAGGACCTCCCCTTGAACCCACCCACCAGGGAAGAGTGGAGAACAACAAGGAACAATAGGAAATCGGTCAAGCCACACAGCTTGTTGCGAAACCCGATCTTGGCTTCCTCATTATACAAATTGCCCGCTTGCTTTAAAGAGAGCTGATCTTGGCACCCTTACTTCATAATTGGCTTACTCTGGAAGAATGAGTCCTTCCACTCGTTGCTGCATATCTTCAGGCTCCAGTTTGCGATTTTTTAGAGGGTGCAGTTTCCATGTTACAGATCTGTGTTTCGAGCTGGGCTTTTCCCACTTTGAATCTTTATTCTTTGTGTGGGCGGAATCAGAAGGGTCACCAGCCTCTCCGACCTCGGGGTCAGCCAAAGCGCATTTGGCGTGTTTGGTCCAGGCATGGCTGTGGCAAACAGAGTTTTAGGGCCATTTTTTGTGATGCCAAGGGAATACCCCTCAAGGTAATATATATATATATATATACATGTGTGGATCTTATGTGTATATAATATAAGTAATGGTTCATGTTGGCGACATAGCCACGTGGATGTGTCCTTTTGGTTTCCCTCCAACCCCACAAGACAGGCGTACCCACCCCAAAAAGACGAAGAGACACGCCGGAGATCTCAGGCCTTGGGAGATTTGGCCCAGCTGAAGAAGGGGGAGAAGGTGCTGATCCATGCCGCCGCGGGCGGGGTGGGTTTGGTGGCCATCCAATACGCTCAGTTCGTGGGCGCCGAGGCCTGGCAGCCCGGGCCGCCCGAGGGGCTCCGGGGTTCCGCCTGATTTCGGGTTTTCTGAGGGAAGGGGGAGAGGGGGGGGGGTCTGAGGCCCGGGTATATAAGTTGATGAAAACCTTTGAAACCAGGCTGTAAAATAGAAGAAACGCCAATGAGTTTGGGGGTGCTGCTCACCTAGTAGGTCATGACCATGGGGACCTCCAGTTGCGGTTATAGCCTCCTTTCCAAGTGGGTTGAACATCCAAGGGCCAATCAAAATGGTTTTAGGGGGCAGGGTCTCACTTTTGGACTACCCGGAGTCTCCACCCTTGAAAAATCAGCTCCTTGCCCCAAGACTGTTGCCATACATTGACCCATGGTGAAAGGGCCCCTGACCTTGTTCCAGAATTTCAGAGGACCGGTGGTGCTCATTTGCTGAGCAGAGCTCATTTTCTGAGCAGAAATGGTCTTTCACCACCCCCTGCTCCGTGCATAACCTGGGAGTCCAGCCCCATTTGTTTCGGGTCCATTGGAAGACGAGCCCAAATGGGTGGATTTCAAGGGGAGGCAGAGAAGCGGCCTTCGCCTCACGGGCTTGCAGTAAGCCTGCCCTGCGCCTGCCTCCGGGCCCGCCCGCCGCCCGGGCGCCTTCGGAGGTCTTTGCGACCGCTGGCGCGGACGAAAAGCACGAGTTCCTGCGCTCCCTTGGGGTGAAGTACATCACCAGCAGTCGCAACGGCGCCAAGTTTGAAGAGGCGGGAAGCACAGCCCATGTTTGAATGAGCATGAAGGTGATCCCTTGAAAGCAGGCTCTAAACATGCTTTTTGGGAGATGTGTGGAGGTTCCAGGTGAATGTTCAGGAGCATGTCTGCACCTTTGCCTCATGAGACCATACAGGGGTCCTCCCTCAAGGCGATGCTTTCCGGCATATTTCAAGGGAGGTCGCCCCTAATTATACCTCTGTATGGTTTCACAACTTGAGGATATGAGCTTCCAGAAGAGGGGTTCCTCAAAGGCAGGACACATTATTATTATTATTATTATTATTATTATTAATTATTATTATTAGTTTTGAGGGGGGGGGGGGGTAATGCGAAGTTTCAGGAGACTGCATGGGTGAGGTGGCAAGCCAATTCCCCTCAGATCCCCCCAAAAAGAAACAAGAAAAGAAGAGCAGGCCATCTTTTCCAAGAAAGAAGATGAACCAAGCGCTGTCTTTTCAGGACATGAAGAGCTTCCTGAAGGAGTTGGGTGGCGATGGCATTGACGTGGTGCTCAACAGTCTCTCCCACGACGACTACATCGGCCGCTCTTTGGCCCTGCTGAAGCCGGGCGGCCGATTTATGGAGATCGGCAAACGAGGCGCGAAAACCGCGCGCGCGCGTTCTTTTTTGGGGGGGGGGGGTCTGGTGGGGGGTACTTAAATAGTTTGAGGGGCTGGCGAGTTTTGACCCAGGTTGGTCCATTTTGGAACAAGAGTTTTACCCAGGTTGGTCCATGTGGAACAAGATTCGGATCATTTTGTTGAGGACATGGTGCAGACTCACTCAACCACTCAACTTCAACCATAAACCACAGCCTGTAGGCACCGAGCAAAGTTGGGCTTGCGTCACTTGCCGTAAGCGAGTTCACCGAATCTGAGAGCTGACAGCTTACCTAATCAAAAGGGCACGTGAGAGCCCTTTCTTTTCGAAAGCGCAACACAAATTTGCCAAACGTCACCTTCCAGAAGCTTGATCTTTGATCGCAAGTGCATGGTACTAGACCGTCAGACGCTGCAGTTGTGTAGGAAGTCATGGCCGCCAGTCGTGTAGTAGCTTCAGATGGGCATCATCCAGTCAGGTTCTGTAGGGTCATCCATGGCGAACCCTTTTTGCAGACAACTTGACTTATGGAAGTTGCAAAGCGGCCTGTTTGGAGGCAATCCTTACAATCTTGATATAATGAAATGAGTTGATCTCCTTTGCAGTCTCCAAAGTTTCTTAGGAGCCTGGTGTGGGCCTGCGCGTTTCTTTCGAGAGTCTCGGTCCGTTTTTGGTGCTGTGAGGCATTTGGAGCCACCAGCAGATGTTCGAAGCGCGGCCAGACGTGATGTACGAGAAGATTGCCGCTGATACCATGCCGCTCGCAGCGGCGTTTTAGAGTTTTTGAGTTGTTTGCTTCTGTGGAGTGCCAGGTGGCCCAGTTGGCCTGTTTTAAGTTCGGAGGATTTGGGACAATAATTTGCGCGGCACTGAAGACGCTGGCTCACACAGGATCCAATCAAGGTTCCACGACTCGCCATCGAAAGGCATGCCCGGCGGTCCAGTGGGTTCCGCACTTGACTTGTGTCCTTTTTCGTTTGGCTTCCTTGTAAGATTAAGAGCAGCAATCAAGGTGCCCTGTTCCGACATCCGGAGCATCTTTGGTTGAACTGTAGGGCAGACAAGCGGCTTTGTGACTTAATTGAGTCTCCTGAAAACTGACATGGATACAACATGGTACCATGAAACCATGAATGGGGTCCAGCAATACACCCGTCTGCTCCTCAGCGATGTGTCCAAAGGGAAATCCACCTACGAGTGAGGGATGTCGAGTTTCCGTTTTGAAGTTGTCGGGGCCAAGCCGTGGCACGCGCAGCGCCTTTCATCGCGTCGAGTCCCAGTACCCCCAACCCTGCCATTCCTTTGGGATAGGTGATGTTAGATTTGTTTGCAACTTTTGAACATAGTAGGGGTGTTTTTTTTGGTGGAACCCCAAAATTGTGGTTTTCTTGTCGGTTTCCCTTCAACACCACCCAACAAAAAAAAGGAACCCTCAAACAAAGACACACCCATATGCCCTTGTCGAATTTCTTGCGTTTCTAAATTAAACATACCTAAACCAAAAGGGAGGGCCCTTCATTCGGGCTGCACCCTTTGGAAGGGAAACAACTGGAAACTGAAGCAACGATTTGGCATTGTTCCATGTTCCATGGGCATTAATCTTGATTGGTTGGACCCTTTTGTGGACACAATGTACATGGGATTTTATGTCCCACCAACCATTTGGCAGGGTGTTGCCCATTGATCCCAGTTGTCCAGTGGCACCTGTGCTTCTCCCTGTTTGGTGGGTTTCCCAAACATGGGCTGACCGCCACACAGAAATGGTTCCAATTCGGTGTTACCCTCCGGCGTGACGGGGTAAGAAGTATTCAGGGCTTCCTCATTTCCCTTTTTCGGACCTCCGAAAGGGGCAGTTTCAGTGGATCTCTGCAGGTAAATTGCGAAACTGTTGAAGGGGAAATCCAGGGCGCTGCCGAGCCGTTTGGCTTTGTGTCACAGCCACCATCAAAACCCGGGTAGATCGATGGATTGTGAGAGAGAATCGCAGCCAGAAAAATGGGTCAGGTGGTTTTTCCCTGTGGGGGTACCCTCAGAGCACAGGTTCCGTGAAACGGGTTCTCAGGATGGACTTGGAGCAATGGCGCTACAATGCCTACATGAAGCGCCTGGTAGACCGGGTGGATGCAGGCCGAACTAAAACAAATTGGCCGATTGCGGGGAATGCATCAAACAAATCTCCCTTGGTGTCTTTTTGAAAGGGTGTTAAAGTATGTTTTGCGAAGCGAAGCCACCAATTTTGAGGCATGATGTTGAAACGTGGCAGCTTCCACATTTGCTAGAGATCCTTCTTTCCAGCAAACCAACGACCAGGGAGAACGATCGGTGAACACAGCCATGAAATCAACCTCCATAATTGCCAATCCCCTCTTTGGGTTGGACCCAAGGGGTGTCGTTGATGCAAAGTCTAGAGTCTAGAGGTAAAACACTGGAACTGGAGTTGCTGCTTTGTTCCGTCCACGTTACCCTTTGCCCAAAGACAGGCACTGGTTTGAAACAGAGAACAACAGCAACAGGCTAGGGTGAAGCGTTGTAATTATTGCTGGAGGCCTTTGTAGGTTGTGTTTGCATGTTTGCAAGACAGATGGGGGCCTTCTTGCTCCTATCCAGTCACGATGTCGTTTTCATCTTTCGGGCCTGATAATTAACAAAAAAAACACGGAAGATTTAGAAAAGGATGTCAGGGAGGGGGTCTGTCCCGAAAGCTTCCCCGTTCCTTCTCAACTACCGACCTCGGGGGTTGCGGCCTGCGGCCTATGGCTCCCTTGCATTCTCTCTCATGTGAAGGAGAACTCCAGGATCAAGGAAGACAAGTCTCGACTGTCTCGTGTGTTAGCGGGAGTGTATGCCTCGCTGTCGATTTTAGCCCCTCATTTGAACTGTGTGTGTCTATACGTGTAAACCCCAAAGGATGACAGATGGTTGGTTCCAGATGCACGGCTGTTGGACAAATACGCATTTCGGCTTGCCAAGAGTTGAGGGTGGCATTGGTACATACCACGCACGTCCGCATGCGCGTGTTTGGGTGCGCGTGCGTGTGTTCCAGCTCAGAAATCCTTGTTTGTACTTGTGGTTTGATGTTGATAGAGTCATTTTGAGGGACCGTTTTTTCATGCTGATTCCGTTTTCGCGGCGAGCCCCTTGATGAATAGTGGAGGAAGTTGATAAAACAGGTGTTCAGTTGGTTCCCCTTCACATCAGACAGAGGGGAAAGCAGTGTGCCTTTTATAGTGGCCTTTTTCGTGCCATATCCCATGAACGGTTAGCTTTGGTTTGGTTGGGAATCATGGCAGGCGGACTGGTGCCCATCAACATGCACATCTTTGAGGGCATGGAGCAAGGGGTCACCGCCATGCAGTTCCTGCAGCGTGCCAAGAACATCGGCAAGGTGGTGATCAGCCACTCGCCTCAAGAAAACAATTCGCGAAGGGCTCGGTGGCTGGCTGGCTGCCTGGCTGGCTGGCTAGCTGGGTGGGTGGGGGACTTGAATTTCATTTCAGACGACTTGAAGCACCAATGCCCCCTTCAGGTTGCCAAACATAGGGCTTACTTGCTTTACATGTCAATGTTTGTAGTCAGCATGCCAGGCAGCCCTTGGCCCGGTCAGTTCTTGGTTGTGGTTTACAAAGAGTTGTGGCCTGAATTTGGGCTGCCCAGTTGTTTGTTCCTATCTCTGTTCAAGTTGTGGAACAAGTTCCCGTCTTCCCTTCCTTGGATGCATTGACTGCGCTCCTAAGCAACAGTGAACATGGTTATCATCATCTACTGTAGTCAAGACGATGACATGCAGCACACTCGCTGAACTATCACGAGAAAAGGGGGGTGCGGGGTTTACTTCCACAACTTCTATGTCAGTTGGAGACACCTGCTGAATTTGATTCTCTATTTGGAGATTGGGAGCGGCCCCAAAATCGGAAGGCTCCCTTTCATTTCCATTTGAACCCCAAGAAAAAGGGAAACAGGTGGTGATTCTTGAATTTCCTAACATGAAACTCATGTCCTGCGACGTTGCTCGTGAGGCCAAGCGAGCACTTTGAACCTGAAGCCGGAGGGGCACTACGTGCTCAGCGGCGGCATGGGAGCTTTGGGCATGGTCACGGCGCAGTACCTCCTGGAGGAGACATGGGAATCCATACATGCTCTAGATTTATCGTGCAAGAACAACAAACAACAGCAGCCGCGGCAGCTCACCCTGCTTGGACGTTCAGCCCACTGGTTTAAGTAGGCTTCATGTTTTGTGTTATAACCATGGATATGGTAGGGTTCAACATCCAAGTAGTCTGTGTGGCAAACCCAGATGAACAATCCCTCCAAGCTGTTGGTTTGCACGATGGTCCTTCTTGAAGCTCGTCCTCGGCCTAGTTTTGACCTTTGTTCCAACACCCGTTGACACCGACATTGGGGAAGGGTCCCAAGGTCCAGTCCTTCAAGCTGTCCACTTGTCACTTGCCCAAGCGACTCTCCAATCGGAGCTTCTTGAGACTTGGCCATCCAACAAGTGATCATCTGTGTTTGGCTTCTTTTGGCAAGTGAGAAACAGGCACAACCAGAGCGAGCCCGTCAAAAGCGACACCACGCGAGTCAAACTGAGAAAACCCGCATTCGCACGAAATGCACATGAGACTTGAGTCGCGTACTTGCACAAGGGTTTGCCTCCCAAAGGCTTCATGGAAGGTCTGCGTGTCTATAGAGCACAACCGCTTTTGGGCTTTGGTTGGTAAAGTTCCGTCCATGCATAGCATGATCTTTGAGTTCTTTGTCGGTGATTCTCGCTTTCCAGCGACTACCGAGACTGCAACGGCCATGGCTTGAAGCTTCGCCGGCCGAAGGAAGGCCCCCCAAGCCGAAAGGGTATGCCCTAAGCCTGACGAACATCCAGCGGTGAGGGCACAACACTCCGACCGCTAAGGCGCGCTGATTTTCGTATGGTTCGTTTCTAATTGGTGAACCCCCAAAGAATGGGCCTAGTGTTCGCATCTTGTTCCCCCACATATGTCAGTGGACAAGCCCCAATTTCCTCAACGGACATGGGTCAGTCCATTTCCTAACCGTTTCTGGTCGTTGATTGGATAAACAAAAACCCCGCACCAGGTGGGGTCAATGAAACTTCCAACTGCTGCGAGGATTTTGTTCATCCACGGTATTGTCGGGTAATGCGCGGTTCGGCTAAGCCCACTGGTTTGTGGTTCATAGAGGGACATAGGGGAACTCGCAAATTGTCAGCCACAAAAAGCAAGGGACACTCGGTTTTCCCGCTCAGTCCAAAGCCGAGCTGTGACCTTTTGGTTCCCAAGTTTGGTTCCTGTTTAGTCATGGCCCCAGTGGGTGATCACCTTTTATTTCTGGGTCCCTAAGGGCCAGCTGTGGCTGTCCAACAGTTTTGTCAGGAGGGCGCCAAGTCCATGACGCTGCTCTCCCGCAGTGGCAAGCCCTCTGCAGACATCACGGACTTATGGGCCCAGCTGCAGGAGCGAAAGGCAGCCGCGTCCTTCGGGTGCTAAGTAGCTATACTTGTTCCCCTGAAATGTTCATTTTAAACGAGGGATGAGTATCTTGTTAATTTTCGCAGACCCGTTCGGCACCCAGGTGAAGAATGGAAATCTTCTTTGAGAGTGCCACCCTTTGCAGGTTCAACGGGAAGTTCAAGGGAACATCGATCATTTTGAGGGCTCCATATGTGTCGCAGCCTGCGCGCGACTCAAGGGAGGAGGCGCAACAGGCGAAGGGAAGCTCGCTCCCCAAGTTTCTGGATGCCGGAAAGATCAATTTGGGAAACAAAACCTTAACTTGTTTGCACCAATCCACTCAAGCGAGGAAAGGTTAGAAACTCTAGAGAGGGGTCCCTTTGTTCAAGAAGAAGATCCCTTCGTGATTCCCGGGTTACAGGAAGCATGTGGTGCCCCTTCCGTGATACAGAGTAAACTCTCTTTGATATGAAGAAGTAGGCAAACCCGCCGTGGGAATGTGTCTCTTGGAAACCCACACCTGCCTTTCGAAGGTCCTAGCCATTCTACAAGCAATTTCCCCCTTCTTTGGGCTCCTTCCACAGAACCCCCTCCCCAGAGAACAGGCCTGGTTGTGAAAAGAACGATGGCTGAAAAAGAATGGAACCGCAATCAACCTGTGTGCTAAGTACTACAGAAAACCTCCGGTGTCCCATCCTGCATTTTGCCCTCCTCCCCCCGTTTTTGTGGGTTCGAAATGCCCCCCCCCGCCAGTTTTGGGCTTGAAATATCTCCCAGGCTTCCCAAAAACCTCGCACGTCCTCGTGAGGACTCCAGCGTGGAGCTGCAGGCTGCGTCCTGCGATATCGCCTCCATGGACGCAGTGCGCCAGCTGCAGGTGGCGCTCAAGGACAAAAACCTGGCAGGCCGAGAGCGGTGCTTCTGAGTAGCCGAGTTGGAGGAGAAGTCCAGGGAAAGAGCGGAAGGCTGTTGCGTTTGTTTTTGGATGCATCACCTTGTGTTTTGACTAAGAGGTTTCCCTTTTGCTTCTTATGGGGAGCCTGGAGGTTCAAGCACTTGTCTTCGAAATCGGTCAATCCTTGTGCCAGGCGGTGGTTCCCCTTGTAGCGATGCCCTACGGATTAGGATTCGGGACAACCGTTAACCCCCCCATTCTGAACAGCCCAGCGCGTCATGCCGAGTGATGCCGAGTGCCTGGTCGCGTGGAGCAAAGTTGGTAGGACTGGGAGACTAAGCAGAACTTGGCGGATCAACAGAGGGGGGCGTTCCTGGGCGAAGTGAAGGATGCTCTCCAAAATGGGGGAACCTCAAGGGCCAACATTCAACAGCCACACCCTGGTCCCCTTGCGAAGCCGGAAAGGAAGCTCGTCTGAGGGGCACCCCAAAGGGAGGGAAACCAGTTTGTTTAGAGGGAAGCCATGAACAGGTTGATTGCGCAAGTTGTGGTTTGAACATACTTGGAAAAAACGGTTCGCCCTTGCCAAGTGCCTGCAACCAGAGGCCTATGTTTCTGAGTCTGTCAAAGATGTGTGCAATTGGGAACGCATCAAGTGACTCAGTCGGATCCCCCGACACTTCAATTGTCTATAGTCGACTAGTGCAATGTGCCTCGAGGAAAAGGAGGTCTGCGAACATGGAACTGTGCAGGGGGGGGGGGCGACCAGGCAGAAAGTAGATGCCACAATTCCCCTTTTGTCGGCAAGGGACAGGGATGACGAAACTAACATGGAATTGTGCCGTTCACTTTTGCCCCAACTGTAGAAGGTGGTTTACAAGCTATAGTCATGGTTGCAAGGGCACAAATCCCAGTAATAGCCATGGTTTTTCAATCTTGCTCTGCACTGCTCACTTCCGGAATTTTCTGGATTTTAAACTGTTGGGTTTGGACCTTCGTAGTAAGCAAGCACAACAGTCCAGTTGTCGTTCTTTTTCTTTTCTTTTTTTTCCCGGCCAATCCACTCACTCGAAGTGAGACTAAGACTTGCTACGGGGGTTGCACGGAGGCTTCGAGCGAGTGACGCCAGGCCTCATCCACTTGGCGGCGGTGCTGGACGACGCCACCATGCCCAAGCTGACCCGGGGTCACCTGGAGCGCTCCTATGGCGCCAAGGCGGGACTCGGGGCAAGAGATGGGAAGGAGACTCGGAACCAATGAAAAACCCCGCGTTTCCTATGGGTTTGCTCTGAGGGAATCAATGCCCCCGACAAAAACCATCCATGATCATCCATGTCCTATGGCTTCCTTTGAGGGAATCCCCTTCCGCCCCTCCGTTTGGTATGGTTTCCTTTCGGGAATCCCCCAAGCCGGTTCATTCAACCAACACCCGGACTCGGTCATTCCCTACTCACCAGCAAGACAACAAGACCCTGATAGTTACCTTTTTTGTTTGAAGGGGAAGCACAAAGATGTTTAAACAAGGGGTGTTTGCACCCCACTTGGGCGTGCGTTGTTTTGAGGGTACCCTTCTCAGGTTGGGTTGAAGGGAAATCGAAAGGAGAACAGCCGGTTTGGGGGTTGTCTAGTTTGACAGATACCCATTTGCCTGGCTTTGGTGATCGAACAAAGGGAGCGATCCCAAGCACCAGCCATTTATGTGTCCTTTCTGTCGGGTGGTAGCAGCTTCCATTTGCCTAAGGCGATGTGTTTTTACCCACCCGACAGGAAGGGGTTGTTAGATTTCATGTTGGAATCCGCATTTTGCGATGCTCGCCAGTGGATCCCGTTGAGTATCCCGCCAGAGCAGCTCGCCAGTGGATCGCTCCGAGAATCCCGCCAGAGCTGCTCGCCAGTGGATCCCGCCCAGTATCCCGCCAGAGCTGCTCGCCAGTGCATCCCGTCCAGTATCCCGCCAGAGCGGCTCGCCGCCGAGTATCCCGCCAGAGCGGCTCGATCCCCCAGACTCCCGCTGAGTATCCCGCCAGAGCGGCTCGCCAGTGGATCCCGCCGAGTATCCCACCAAACTGCAATCCTTGCAAAAGCCGCCTCCTTGCAACTCCACTGCCAGTCAGATCTGCCAAACTGCAACCCTTGCAAAGTTGCAAGGCTGCTGCCCTGGCAAGCCCGCCAAGCTTGCAACCCTGCAAGGCAGCCCTTGCAGGCAGGTCTGCCAAACTGCAACCCTTGCAAAGTTGCAAGGCTGCTGCCCTGGCAAGCCCGCCAAGCTTGCAACCCTGCAAGGCAGCCCTTGCAGGCAGGTCTGCCAAACTGCAACCCTTGCAAAGTTGCAAGGCTGCTGCCCTGGCAAGCCCGCCAAGCTTGCAACCCTGCAAGGCAGCCCTTGCAGGCAGGTCTGCCAAACTGCAACCCTTGCAAAGTTGCAAGGCTGCTGCCCTGGCAGGCCCGCCAAGCTTGCAACCCTGCAAGGCAGCCCTTGCAGGCAGGTCTGCCAAACTGCAACCCTTGCAAAGTTGCAAGGCTGCTGCCCTGGCAAGCCTGCCAAGCTTGCAACCCTGCAAGGCCTTCAGAGCAGCCCGCCAGTGGATCCCGCCGAGTATCCCGCTGAGTATCCCGCCAAGTGTCCCGCCAGAGTAGCTCGCCAATGGATCCCGCTGAGTATCCCACCAGAGCAGCCCGCCAGTGGATCCCGCCGAGTATCCCGCTGAGTGTCCCAGAGTAGCTCGCCAGTGGATTCCGGCGAGTATCCCGCTGAGTATCCCTTGCCGGTGGATCCTGCCGAGTATCCGGCCAGCGAGCCGGAGTGGCTCGCCAGCATTCGCCAGTGGATCCCGCCAGTATCCCGCCAGAGCAGCTCGCCAATCTGGTTTTGCTTAATGTCCAAAAGGGCCGATGGGAATTTGGAGTCGAATTCTCTAGGATGCGGAGGAATTTGTTGTAACGGTTGTAAGCTCGTGAGTGTGGGAGGTGGGGTTTGCTCGAAGCGAAGTATTTTTTGCGTGCTGCTTTCACGGGCAATTGATTTGACTCATGATGCGCAAGTAACGCTAGGGGGAACTTCTCCACACTTTTCAGGGATACGATGATTGAAAGGAACCAGCATGGGAGCCTAAACACACATGAGCGACATCAATGTGCGCGAAAAGAGAGGGAAGCTGCAGGCAGCTTGGTTGAAATCTGGGGCCGCTGTAGTGTCCTTTTCATATGCGAGGTATCCCATCCAGCCGATTTTTTGGGCTCCACTTGTTACATGCATCCCTATGGTCCCCGAATCAAACCTTGCGCTTTCATGCTGCTCACCAGGGTTGCCCAACTCAAATGGTGCCATGTTGGGGTGGAACAGATCGAGACCCCTGCACTTATGCCCTTGGTTGAGAAGGTCTCCCAATTTGAGACAACATCCCACATTTTGCTAGGTGTGGGGCGCCCGGCATTTGCGGAGCGGGCTCTTCAGCGAGAAGGGCTGGGACTTTGCGCTGCTTTTCTCGTCCACCTCGGCCTTGCTAGGCTTCTTGGCCCCGAGAACAGAGCGCTGTATATGGGTCTGTGTGCGTTTGTGTGTGCGCGTGCGTATCCTTCTCCTGCTTGGTTTATAGGGAAGCCAAAAGGAAAGCGACATGTTGGGGGTCTCCTTATTTTGACACATACCCATATGTCCCAGTCTCGGTGGTGTCAAACGTCGCAGAATCGTTGAGCCCCTGCATCGCCATCATCCTTCCGATCTCCTCCCCCGGTAAGGGTGAAGAGAAGTATAGGGAACTCCGAGCAATGGTACTTCAGGCAACCCGCCCATGTGCGCCAAATGTGATGGTCCATGGTCCATGACAAAGGAGTTAGCGGCTAAGTAAATACTTTCTCTTTCCTCGGGTCTGACACAATTTGGTTATTGGTTGTGTAGCACCCACCCATTCTAATTTCTGAGTCTCTTACACCAAAGCAATGCCCTTCATCTGGGAGCCCAGCATTGACATCAGGCTACATCAAGAGGGGGCGTTTCTTCCGATTGATTGAGGGTTCTTCAAGCTGGAGTCCTGGGACTCCTTTGTCCGCTTCTCGCTTCAAACTTCACCAAGTTGCGAATTTAAAGGATGTTTCCCCTATTGATATAAAATGATGATCAAACAAGATGCGAAAAGATAAACACATCTACAAGGAAACCGAGTTTAGGCCTGGACCGATTTGCCGTTGAGACGCCTGAGGCTCGCCGGGGCAGGGCAACTACTCGGCGGCCAATGCAGCGTTGGACGCCCATGCGCGGTACTGGAAGAAGGTCAAGGAGGAGAGACGGACGTCAGACGCGCCTCAACCGTTCCCTGTGTGAAAATGGGAGGCATTCAAAATAATGAGGAGCTGTTCATTTGGCGTCCCTTCAAAAATAAAGGCCTAAATTAGAACAATGGGGTGGTGGAAGTTTGCCAAATTGAGTCATGATCGCTGGTGTGTAATCATTTAGCCGCCTATTTTGCCTTCCCCGTTCTTTTTAGGGGTCCTTCTTTTCAACCCCGCCCCCCTCCCTCCCCCCCCACGACCTAGTGGGAAGAATGAGAAACCGGAACAAGGGCAGGGCTTTTCCTGGAGTCAGTCTGTCTTTGACCCCCCCGTTTAGAGAGAGAAGGACCTTTTCAAGGATGATTTCAACAGTTGCTCACCGACATGCCGACACCACGGCACGTGTCAGGAGAATGTGGTGTCCGTGCAGTGGGGTCCGTGGCGCGAGGCCCGGAGTCCGGATGGCTTTGGGTGTTGGAACCGTTTGGAAGAAGCATCAGGCCTTCAGAGATCGGCCATGCAATTTGCAGAGAGAAGGTCGGAGGACCCGAGGACCTCTAAGTTGCTGTCTTCAGGTACCCTTCTTGGCTTTGAAGGAAGCCAATGGAAGCAGAAAGAAAGCTATGCAAAATCCGCATTTGGAGACGCACCCGCATACTTTGCCCAACAGCTCGGTGATGTCCAGTCAAAGACAGAGTGCCAAAATTGTCCGCAGGGTTCTGCCATATTCGGGCTAGGGGCCAGGTCGGCAAGCCTTTCGTTCATCATTTTTGACAAGGCGACGTGACATGTTAACTAAGCATCTCAGTGATCAGGTCAGTGCTTGTTTCTCGCTCCCGGACTATTCAGAGCTGGACACCTGTGCGTGCGTGTTCAAGCACCTGTGCGGGTTCACCCCAAAACTCAAGCGGGGGCCTCCAAAGGCCACCCAAAGCCTGTGAAACAGTTGAGGCCCCCCCCAAAAAAAAGAAGAAAACGAACAGAAACATGCAAGAACTGACAAGTTGAGGGTCCCCACCCACCCCCACAAATGCGGCATGTTCCAGTCCGCCCAAGTCTGGTGCGCACTGGCTGTTGTCCTGGCCAAGATATGTGCCGGAGGCCAAAAGGACCCAGTGGGGCAAAAGTCCAAGGGGTCAACATTGGGTTGGTGCTGGCTTGAGCCACCTCCTGATTCATGAATCCCCTCAGGTATTGTTTTTTTTTTTTTTTTTTCTCCCCGGGGGTAACCCAACAAATTCACGGGCATCGGTGTCCTTCTTGTTAGGCCCCTTTTAGAGTGTTCCAACATGCTCCAACTCATTCTTTCTCAAATGCAGGTTCCCGTTGCCTTTGGTTTACCTTTGGTTTACCTTTGGTTGCCCTTGAGCAGCAAGGATGCTTGGCACCTTGTCTCACCGAATCTCTGTCCCTCTAGTCTTGCAACTTGGTTTCCCTTGTGGCGAAGTTTGCCAGGTGGGCATGGCGGCGCAGAAGGGCACCGTGGAGCGCCTGCGCCAAAGCGGCGTGGGGTCTCTGAGCAACGCCTTTGGCATGGCCGCCCTCGCGGGGTGCCTCAAGGCGCGCTCGAGCCGCGGGGTCCGCACATGGTGTCCCTCGAAGCTTCCGTTTGCTCAAGAATGTGCCCCTTGGTTTTATGGGTGTGGCCTTGAAAACACTATTTGTTGGAGCCTGTACCCCTTTTTTTCGTGCTTTTTTTTTTGGGGGGGGGGAGGGAAACCACCCAGGGAAACCGATGCCATTTCGGGGGAACCAGGTGTTACAGGAACCCCACGCCGAGAAATACCTGAACTTTTTGTTTAAGGTTGCCTTGGTTTTAAAGGGAAGCAAGAAACCACTGGAATTAGCATATGTTTGTTAATTCCATGGGGCTTACAACGGATGGACGTAGACCAACCCCAAAAAGGGTACCCGCAAGAGAGAGACCTCTGTTTTATGGTATCGGCAAGTAGTCTTGACATGCGCTCGCGCGCGCTTTTGCCACTTCTCAAAGTGAACTCGATTCTGCTTAGTGAGCTCCGGGCTTCACAGGATTTCAGTAGAAACATCCCCAGATGTTGACTTTACCTCTGCAAAATCGCCAATCCGAACAGGCTAAACTATCCCTGGACATTGATCATCCGAAACCCACTTGTCCAGTAGCACCTGTTGAGTGCCCAAAGCCGCAGTGTAAGCATGCTGGCCGGAATGTATGTTGCAAATGAAAGGAAGTCGGCCTGTTTCAAGAAAGGTGTGTTGCTGTCTCAAGAAATGAAAGGAATGCGGCCTTCCAGGTGTTCCAACCACGAGTTTCTCCAAAGGGGTCTGCCCATTCCCATCTTTGAAGTGCGTCCTGGCACCCTCACACTAAGTAATGCCAACTTTGCAAGCAACATCTCCAAATCGTGCCAGTCAGGGTTCATCCTCATACTAACTCCTGAGGGGGCCCGGTTTTCGTGTAAGAGAATCCTCTCTGAACAGGGAACTAGAGTTGTTTGATCACTAGAGCTTCTATTGAAGGGCTTCAACCTCCTTGGCGGTGAGACACTTTTCACTTGGTCAATATGGCCATGGCAACAAAGTGCTCCTTTCCCGAGATGGAGATGAGACATTGGTTGGTTCAGAGTGAATTGAGGTCTGTCAAGGCTTACGTAAATTGGAATCCTGCGCACTCGGCCGATTGATCAAAATGGGCTCGCTTCACACTCCCACTAAGTGGAGAATCGTGCCGCTGGGTTTGCCGCAGAGATATAGCTCAGAAAAAGAGGTATGCCTGTTTCACAAGTGTCCATGGCCAAGTCGATTTGACTTTGGTCACGTACAACTGGACTTCAAGTCACGGGTGCATCAGAAAACCACTTGCTAGCTTCGCTTTTCTTTATCACTAAGGTAGGCTTAAACCCTAAGTGTTTTTCTATTCAATTCGCCCACTTGAGAGTTTACTGGAGTTTACTCTCCAAGTTGGACACCAAACACTCGGAGGTCCGTTTCTGATCCCTTGGCTTTTGGGGGTCCATATCAAACAAGGAAGAACAAGCTAAGACCTTGAAGGTCAGGCGAGCCGGAACAGGCCCATGTGGTGTTTTCCCCGTTTTCCCTGTGGTTTTTCTGAGGTCATGGGAACCCAAGGCACTTGAGTTGGGGGCTCTTCGCGTTCAGGCGCCCCTTTGCACCACTCTGGTGGTGCAGCCTATGCGCTGGGCTCTGCACCTTGGCCGGGTAAGGGGGAGAGGTGAGCCTGAAAATGGCTTGGTGTTTTTTGGTTGCTGGGCGCTAAAATGGAGAGATCAGATTGCTTAATTTTCCGAAATGGTCAGAACAAACGGATGGGATGGGTGTTTATTGAAAGCATTCCAGACACCTATTCAGCACCCAGGTACAACGGGAGACCCTCTACAAAAAGGCTGTCGCTGATTTGTCAACCCGAATTTGAATAAGTGGATTCTTCCGAAGCGTGGTGTCAGCATGAGTGCTTACTACCATAGGGAGACCCCCCACAAATGTTTGGTTTCCTGTCGGTTTGCCTTGAACCATCAAAGGGTTTGGTGAAAGAGCACTTGTGTGGACACCAAAAGGAAAAAGCGCGAATTTGTATCCAGGCTATTTATAGCAACCTCACTTGCCACGGTTTGTGACCTTCCCATAATGCAGGTTCCTTCCTTTGGGGGTCCGGTTCTTGTTTCAGGTTGGTGAGCGTTGGTGAGATTTGCCACGGAAATCCACCCAGACTTAGATGGTCCGCTGTGGCAAGCATGCGGCAAAGGCTTTTGCCGTGGTATTGGGGGTTTCGAGGTCGCGAGAAGTCAGGACCTAGGAGCCCGAATTTCTTGCAAGCTCGGTTGAAAGCCTTTTGGGAATCTTGGTTTTCATGTTTAGGAGGTGGGGATTCAGTGAACAGGGAGATCATTGCTTGCCATGCCAAGGCCCCGAGTCTGGGACCTCGCTTGGCATTTTTAAGGTTCACTGAATGTCAACCAGAATCTATACATGACACGTTTCAGTCGGGTCAAAAGCTGAGGTACGTCTAGCATGATGTTTGCTGATTGGAGCTGACGACGAGCGTTGAGGTTGGTGAAATGGGGCTTGTTAACATCTCTCAAAACCGGTTAGTGAACGATTGAAATTCACAGAGCGTGTAGAACATGATTCAAGACAATGTGTTGTTGGTTTGCATGCATACTTGTTTTACAACCCATCAATAGCAGAGACGCTCTCATGTCTTCGTTGCTTCTTTCAGTGTTGGTCAACACACAGCCAAAAGTGATACGGCTGTTTTGCAGGTTTTTTTTTTCGCGTGGAGGCGATGCACTTTGCAGGTTTCTCCATCCTATCTGAGGTATCTCAAGCAGTACCCGAAGATCCCCCCGTTCCTGTCTCGCTTTGCCAGCGAGGTGCGGAAGTCTTCAATCGGAAACAGGACAGAGATGCCGCGTTTTTGAGGGTAGGGTCCTCAACATAGAACCGGATTTCAGGGTTCCCCGAAAGGAGAAGTCTCTCAAAATGGTGGTTCTCACGTCCTGAGGTCCTGGAGGTCCTGGACTTGATTCATGCTTTTGGGAGCGCCATTTTCGTGGCTAAGAAGAAGCTTGGAGTTTTTGTTGGGCAATCCACTTAGGAAGTGCTGCATATGTTGTTGATCAAAAGGCTTTTGGGGTGCCGTTTTGGGGATTACTTGAAAGAGACGCCGAAGGCAAATATTCTTGACGGTTCCCGTGCAGTCAGCTTGGTGAAAAGGCCATCAGCCTGGGGTACTTGTTCAGCAAGACTGATTATTCGATGGTCTCAGATAGGATGGCAAGATCCGTGGATTCTGCGAGGGTATGCGTTTGGGGCTGTTTGAGAGGGAAAAGGGAAGCCAGCCAGTGTGTGCGTGTGTGATTTGTCACAACAAATTTACAAGGCCTTTTGCGCTCCAGGAGGGAATCAAGAAAAACTCATGGGTTAATCAAAGACCATTTGCTTTCTCAACTTGGCCATTTGCTCTCCGCAAGAAAGGAAACCAGGCCGGTCACAGGCTAGTCGGATCCCGAGAGACCTCGTTTTTCCCTTTGTTTGTTCCATGCTATTCCCCTTTTCGCTTTTCCAGGGTTGCTCCAAGCCTTCACGGAGGACCACGCCAGGCCTTCACGAATTTGAGTGAGTTTCCTGTGGCTTCCCTTCAGGGCCTTCAAGTCATGTGACCATTCTGCAGCCAGCTCTGGTTTACTGCGCTCGCAAGAAACCCAGGCAAAAGTAAAGCAACTGCTAGGCGAGGTCGGCATCTTGTGCACCCGACTGGTCAGGTGAAATCCGCCAAGCCCAAGAAGGCAGCAGCGCCCCGCGCCTTTGCGGGCGGTGCTGTCGCAGCCGTGCCGCAGGTGGACAAGGCCGGGAGAGACACATTTTCTTTTTGAAGTGATGGGGGAAACCCAAGGTAAAGTGTTTAAAGCCCTGTGGTCAGACTATTAAATAGACAATTCTGGAAAATGACTTGTTCCACGCTCTAATGGCAAGTTGCGAGCACTTGTTTGCAGGGAGGCAGGTTGATCAACTACCCTCAGAACGAGTCGGCCATCGTTTGCGCAACAAACTGTTCGTGAGCAATACCCCACCGGAAGTTGTAGGCAGCTGAAGTGATGGATTCTGCCGCGAGACAAGGAATTGCAAGAAGGCCTTTGCAAACTCTTGTGTTCCTCCAGAGCCTAAATGCAATGAAATGTAGTTGCTGCTGCCCAAGCAAGCCTACCAAAGTGCAGTTGCTTGTGCAGCTCACTTCCTGAGTTCCGGTTCGGACTTTTTACTATTGGGAAGGCCACTTCAGTGGCAGAGAACAAGTTGGACTTTTTTCGACCATTCCACTCAGGCGAGGCAACCTAAGCAAGCTCAGAATCTGGGCGATCAAGGCTGAAGCTCCAAAGTCACAACAATTTGGTCGAGCGCAAGCTGCCGAGCCGGCTATTCAACTGTTGTATGCTTTGTTTTGTAATAATAAGTTGATGAAAACATGTTGGCCCCAGGCCTTGCCCACATCCTGCTTTGTGCTAGCCAAGGAAACTCAGAATAAACCATTTCTGAGCAGCACGCAAGACTCAGCCAATACAAGAGCAACACTACACCAATTCTAAATAGCACTGGGCCAGCACAAAGCAGCACTAAATCTGTTCTTAGCCAACCCTAAACAATATTTATGGGACTACTTGGGATCCCCGGCTTGCGGTTTTCCCGAACTGTTTGGGCATTGATCATCCCTGGTTTGAGGTTGAACAATGACGTTCCTCTCCCGTGGCACCTGACAGATCCCGCGGATGTATTTTTTGTGTTCCCACGGATGCTATGTTTGTGGCAAGGAAGTGGGGCCTTTCTGGGGGTTGTGGCAGACACCTCTAGCGCGGGTGGTGGAGCCGCCTCAGGAGGGTTTACACAGTGTTCCAGGGGTCTGCTAGATGTTGTTTGTCCCTCCATTGTCCTTCCTCAACTCTTTTTGCAGAGGTTCTTGGCTTACTTTCCCTCTTCGCATTTTTGCAAAGAGGCCCCCTACTGCAAATACCTGGCATCTCTCGAGGCGTCCCTGCGGCAAATGCTGCAGCAAATCGCCGCGGAGGTGGCGGGAGCGGGTGTGGACCAGGAGACGCCGCTGATGGACTCTGGCACTTTGGCGCTCGGATTCCCTCCCTGCAATGGAGCCTGACGTTCGGGGGTTCCTATTTTTGGACCATTTGGCTGTGGGTCAAAACCAATGGTACCATTTTGGGGTAGGTGCACCACCCATTTTAGAACCTATTTTAGTTGGGATTGGGATGTTCACTGGGGGTACGGGATTTTGACCCATGGCCATGTCTCTTTTGAAAGGAGCCCCCTGTCAAGTTCCATATTAATTCGTGGGAGGGTAAGGGAGTTGTGCTAGTATGGGTCACATTCAAACCACCAGGAATTGGACCGCAAGTTTGAATGTCCTTTCCATTTTCCAGGGTACCTACTTTAACCCACACCCATACGAATGGAATCCCCTGAGTGACAAAGTAGCCAATTGAATCTGACAAAGGTTAGGGATAGCCGAGGGATAGGCACTTTGGTATCACCGAAAGGGTGGCTTCCCTCAACCATGTCGGAGTTGGGGTGGATGGAAGGCGGCTGAGTTGAGCAAGGTGTGGGCGCCTTGAAAAATGGCTACGGTTTTTCATTGGGAGCCCCCTCAAAAGTGGTTGGACCAGCTGATGCGTTGCCCAGATCAGGGACAGCCTGTGAGGGACTCCCTGGAAAATAACGGGGCGGGCGCGACGCGGAAGCCACAGGTCCGTATCTTCCCTTTCGGGAGATTCAACCTCCTTTGGTCCCAATTCTGATTCATGAATTCCCAACAGTGCGTAGCTCACCTTGCCATTCCGCGCGTTTGGGTGTCCATTTCCAGCAACACAAAAGATATCCCCATGATGTCCCCTTACACCAAAGCGGTTTTGGCGTTCCACAAAATGCGTCGCTAGGCATGGACTCCCTGTCTGCGGTGGAGTTCCGGAACCGCTTCATTAGCAAGGTCCCAGGACCCTGCCATGGGGCTCTTTGGGCTTGGCTGCGATGGTTGAAAAAACTGCGGGAGAAACATCAGGTCCCCCGCCTCTCCCCACCCCCCCTCCCCGAACAAAGGTACACATAGATATTGTATTGATGCCCAGTTCAATTGCTTCGTATTGATGGTTCAGATTGGACTTGAGCTTCCATGTTTGATCTATTACTGCTGAAGCTTGCTTTTAAGTGTTTGATGGAGGGGACAGGAAATCAAGTCTTGGGCTCAAATTTGGGGGCCTGAAGTTTTACACTGGATTTGATTGCGGCCAGGTTCGGCAAGAGACATGTTAGACTTGACATTGGAAAAGCTGGACATTTGGAATTGGGAGCAGGTGTCTCATTATGTCTGTGTATTTGTTTGTATTTTCAGCATTTGTTGGGGGTGCCGAGCAAGGATGCTTGTCTTTATTCCAGGTGCATTTTTCTAATCTGCTCCAGCCGCTTGTCTTTATGGCTGGTGCATTCTTGAATCCTAAGATCCTAGGTGGACATTGCTGGGTTCCCTGCATTCCCCCTTTGGGAAGACAATTGTTTGACGTCTTTCAAAGTGGTGGCATGCTGAAGGGTTCTCAAAACTACTTTTGGGTTCCGGTGGCTTCCCTTAAAATACCAACTCTCAAGGTAATGTTGAGGATGTCTCTTTCTCGGATCAAGTTTTAGGCTGCGTGAACAGAATGGACTGGAACATTTTATACTTTCTGCCTGTGACACCAGGGGTCCTTCCCAAGACTTCACTTTGAAGGGGATTCCCTTGCCGTTGCAACTTCAAACCTGCTCCTTGTAGCTTAGCTTGATCATGTCTCAGGAGCCACCCAGAGGTGCTATCACGGACAGTCTTGGGGGGCTGGGCCAAAGAGAAGGATCCTTTGCCTTCTGACCCCCCAGCAGGGATCACCTGCAGATGTTCCACCCTTTCGACTTGGGTCTCTTCATTTTGAAAAGAGTGTCAAACGAGCCAGTATGCCACTCATGATGAATGCTACAATGTGAGCCACAGATTTGCGGGGCTATTTGCTAAGGGGATCACTCACTCAATTGCTATGTCAATCTATTTGCAGGTGCTGGAACCTCGTCGAGTCATGACGGATTCACATTTCGGGCTGCATAATACCATTGCCGTTTGGAGAGGGCCAATTGCTTTTCTTTTCTATATGCGGCACCTCAACGATTGTGGACATGCATTGCCTCATGAGCATGCATTGGCTTTGCGAGACTTCCAGGAATCAACCTGCCCAACACGCTGATCTTCGACTATCCCACCATCTCTTCCGTGGCTGACTTTGCTGCCAGCCAGATGGGTCCGGCCCCCGTCCGAATCTTAGAGCCGACGGTCTGACTTCCTCAACAGTGGTTGTTCAGGTCTCAGTTGCCGCCGACTCACTTGTGAAACTCATCACCCCCCTTTTGTGGCTTGCACGTCAAGCCCGCTCGAGTCGGCCTTGAAGCAAAGACCTCTTTGATCCCCTGACTTGCAAACCAAACTGACTGTTTGTTGTCCCTCCTACATTGGGGGGCCTTCAACAGCTTAAAGCCCCAGGGCCGAACCCCGGATTTACTGGACAAAGCCCGACACGAAAGCAGGTGTCAGCACTCGGATTTGGTTCCAGGTGGGACTTGTTTTTCCCGTTTCCACCAAACTCGGAATATTGCGGAATAAACAACAGGGTGTTTAGACTGCCTTATTGAAAACATGTTTGCGCCCGGAAAGGTGAAGTAGAAACCCGCTTAGAGTACGCGAAACTCTCCTCAAACAAGAACGACAACCACTCCATCCTCCAACCCTGCCCGCTGTTTCCCCAAAATAAGACCCGTATCGCAAAGGCCTTATTTGGGAAGCCCTTTGGCACCCATTTCGCCGCTGGAGCGCGCGTCTGAGGCAGCGCCGGCGATGGCTGCGGCCATGGTGCCCGCTGGGCCAAGTGCCACAGAGGCGGGAGTCGGCAGTCGGCCATCTTGCGGGAAGTTGGGTGCTGAAAATCCCGGATTTGCCAACTTTACAAAAGGCAACCAAAAGACACCCAAGAAGAGGCCAAGCTTAGTATGGTTCCCATGCTTAAACTTTAAAACCAAGCTTCTGTAGGTCCTTCAATTGGAAGGCCCGTGTTTAACCGGAAACTCCATGTCCGAGATCGGAGCCAGAAAACGACGAAGGGCTGTGGAAATGAGGGACTGGTTTCCACTTCTGTCATCCCAAGAAACCTCCCCTTCCATTGAGAATGCGTCATTTCGAAGCCCTCCATTCTCAAAGAAGAGATAGGGGGCTTTCTGGCAGAAGCTTCCCATGCTTTTTACAATTAATGGGGGCGGCGGGATGAGGGGAATCGCCAGCACCTGTTTTTTTGGTTTGAACCATCCCAAACCATCCCAAAAGAAGATGAACACACCCAAATGTGGAAATAAGTGCGGTCCTTTGATGGGGGCAGAGGGACAAACCTTTTTCAGGATTGGTTTCAAGAAATCGACCGTGTCTTTTTTGGGCGAGGGAACCCCTTTGTTGTTGTCTTGTCGTCTGTGTGTTCCGGAATTGTGAGGCCATTCATTTTCAGGCCATTCCAACAGACAGGTGTTTCCGATTGGTTTTGAAGACCCTCATATCTTCAAGAGGGGCTTGAACTGTTGCCTACCAAGCATTGCCACACGCTGCTGACCATGTCCCCGCCCCCCCCCAAACCCTAAACCCTAAACCCTTTCATATTGCCCGTTTAACCAGCAAACCGTATCACCTTTTGCAGGTCCACGCGCTTTGCCCAGAAAGCGAACTCGGTTGGTCTGCCGCGCTCTCGTGAGGTGCGCGAGCTTTTGAAGCGCATCGCCTCCGACACCACCGGTGGTTTGGTTGAGGAGGACAAGCCTTTGATGGAGTCCGGCAGCTGGGCCTTACCGCGAGAAGGTGATGTTGACCCCGGAGTAGTCAACCCAGTGATTGGTCAGTTTTTTTTTGATTTTTCTCGAATCACGAAACACGACCCTGAATAAAATTGGGGGGGGGGGGAATCAGGGGTCAGCATTGGTGGTTTTCCTTGTAGCGGTGTCCCACTAATAGTTACCGATTTGGATGAGAGGGATTCCCTGGTTTGACCAAGGATATGTTTGGCGGGAAGCCGGGTCTGTCTGTTTGTTAGATGGTACCCTTCGTGGGGCTATGTCAAAACCGGACGCCACCCATGGGGTTGCCCCATTGGGAGACACACCGAACTGGGATAGAGTCGCGAGGCACGATTTTACATGTTGCGAGTCGGACCATCCAATCATGGACAGTTTTTCCAGGCAACCCAGCGAGCAGCAGATACTCTTATTCACAAGGCCATGGCTCCCCCCAAAGATTTGTGAGGCATGCGTTGTCCGGTCTTTTCCTGATACCCCGTTTTCTGCACAGGCTTGGGGATGGTCCCACCCCAAACCGGGGGGGGGATCTTGCGTTCTTAGCTGTTTCTTTGGCGTGATTTCAAGAGAACTCAGTCCAGAAGTTCAAGTTCGAGTTCAAGCATTTTCTCATACATACTATGTATGCCCCAATTCTTTTGAGACAAGGGTAGATCAATTGGTGGCCGCGATATATTCAAAACCTGAACGTAGGGATCTCTGGTAAAGGACCTGCATGATGGTGAGCTCGTTTTGAGCTCGCCATAAAATTGGCGGATTCATCATGTGAGGCCCCATGTGACCATAGCGGGCAACCCCGCAAGCACCCACAGCTCCGTTATTGCAGGTCACATGTCATTGCATTGGCATGAACTGGGTGTTGATTTTCAATAGACTGCGTCCTGCAGCCCTGCAAATCAAGGGGTCTATTCCATACATTTCGCTGGGTGATAGTTTTCAGCACGCTGTTGCAAAAGGCCAACTCCAAGTGAGTTTCCTTTTGCAAAGGGCGTTGAAGATATCGACTCCTGTCGTGGTTTGGGATATCACTTTCTGAAACACTGGCTTCCCTGGAAGGCTTCCAAAACAAGGGCTCTAGGGGTTGAGTTCTGGTAGAAAAAACAGAGAGACATAGTGTCATAAGTGTTCTAGGTCAGTTTGGTTGAAGATGGATGGCACGGGTGAAACAGCCACAACAGCAAACGTCACCTAGGGCAAGAATTCCTGAGTCCGAGAAGTCAAAACACTGAGCTTCCCTGAAGGTATATACAAAACCAGAGGTTTGGGTTCCGGCTGGAGACAATAGGGAACCAGTTTGGTTTCCTTTTGGTTTCTTTCAAACGCCATCCAAATAATTATATCCAAATGCGGGTTTGAGTTCTGCTGGTAGAGACATTTGGACATCCAAAAAATATGTGACGCCTAAATATGATTTGGGGTTTCATCATTTTTCTTCTGAGAAGCCATCAGATTCCCTTGGCAAATTGCCCAAAACATGATTCTCGAGACATGCAGGGAAGGATCCCCACCCCCAAACACACCACCCCTCCCACGCCTCCACCCCCTCCACCCCCTCCACCCCCTCCACCCCCTCCACCCCCTCCACCCCCTCCACCCCCTCCACCCCCATCCACCCCCATCCACCCCCATCCACCCCCACCCACCCCCACCCACCCCCATCCACCCCCATCCACCCCCATCCACCCCCATCCACCCCCATCCACCCCCATCCACCCCCATCCACCCCCATCCACCCCCATCCACCCCCATCCACCCCCATCCACCCCCATCCACCCCCATCCACCCCCATCCACCCCATCCACCCCCATCCACCCCCATCCACCCCCATCCACCCCCATCCACCCCCATCCACCCCCATCCACCCCCATCCACCCCCATCCACCCCCATCCACCCCCATCCACCCCCATCCACCCCCATCCACCCCCATCCACCCCCATCCACCCCCATCCACCCCCATCCACCCCCCATCCACCCCCATCCACCCCCATCCACCCCCATCCACCCCCATCCAGTTAGAGGACACCTTGCCCATCTTTTTTTGGTACGCGAGCGTGACCCCCACCCTACGCAAGAACAGCATTGTTCAACCATTTTTTCACTATTCAAATCGTCATCCTTATTCATTATGCATATTTCCACTCAAAACATTTCATAACAGTCTCAACCTCAAAATCCATCAAAAAAGTCACATTTTCTCATTTCTATTCCATCATTCTTGTCATTGTTAGGATGCTTGTGGGGAAATAGAAGTATAGGGTGGTTCATATGATATGGTTATTGATGGTAGGATGCATGGGCAAAGTTAAGCTCATTCATAAAACAAAATCAAAAAAAATATCTTCAAAAAAAATAATAATTCAAAAAAAAAATCAAAAATAATAGTTCAAAAAAAATAATAATTCAAAAACTAAAGTTTCAAAACAAATCAAAAAATAATATCTTCAAAAAAAATAATAATTCAAAAAAAAATAAATTTTCAAAAATAATAATTCAAAAAAAATAATAATTCAAAAACTAAAGTTTCAAAAACAAAATCAAAAAATAATATTTTCAAAAAAAAATCAAGAAATATTATTCCAAAACATATGATAAATTATCTTACAATATTTTTATCATAAATTTTTGTAGAAATATTATGGGCAAGGTTAGGTTCATTCATTAAAAAAGAAACACAAAAACAAATTTTATAGAGTATAACTATGGTATAATGAAAGGTTATAAAGTTTTACAATGTTAATTTATATTATAATAACATAATATAAATAAACTGTCGCCCCAAAAAAGGGGGAACCCCACCTAATTTTAAGAAAAACATGCTGTTTTGTCGTTGGATTATTATCTATGAATAAACCCCCGTATCTTCATCATAGTCATTTTGATAAAATGTCATAGTTGAAGCCTTCGGTTCTTTAATTTCTTTGTTATTAAGTTTGTTTAAATAACTATTTCTTTTATTTTTATATTCACCATTGGTTCTATCTACTTCTTTACTTTGATAACTGTTTGTTAAAGGTTTCTTCTTTTCCATTTCTTGCAAGATTTCTAAAATATTCTTATTCTGTTCTAAAACCTTGTTCAGTTTTTTAACAATCTTTTCTAATCCTTCATCCATGTAAATATATATATTATATTATAAAATAAAACTTTTAAAACTAAACTTTTATTTTACAAAATCATATATCATTATATGTCAATTCAAAATTAGTTATTGTGTAACTCGTTAAATTATTATTCAATTTACCAATTAAATTACAAATAATAGTTTTTCTAAATTTTGAATATTTATGAAACTTTTCAATATTATCTGTAATATAAATTATTAAACATTTAATACATTCAAACACATTAACAACATTAATGTTACTATTTTTGTAAATATTATTCATTTTTCTCAATGTAATTTCATAAAACTGAATAGCATTTTTATTATCATAATTAGCAATAAATCTTAAAGTATATGAATATATTCTTTTACAATAGAATTTTAAATCTGATTGTTCAAATAAATCAGCATAATTAATAGAATTATAAAACATGTTAAAATCAATTTTACTATTTCTAAAGTCATTAACAAAATTAATTAATATATCATTTTCGTTATATTCTTCAATAAAATTATTTAATTTCAATTCTTTTACATCAATGAATTTAATAATATTATTTATAACATCTTGCATTATAAATAATAATAGAAATAAGTTTAACTATTATTTTTTCATCATTTCTCGTATTGTTTCCTGTGTTTCATTTTCTCCATTATCGGATGGAGTAACTCCCCTCCCAAAGCGTATAGCAATATTATGTACGTCTGTTTCTAAATTTATATCACCGTCTTTGGATTTATCAATATTCATTTTTTTTATCTGATTTACTTATTTTAAAACCAACTGGTATACAACTGCATTTGCAGTTCCCTTTCTTTGATATTTCTAATTCATTCTTCATCTCTAACATCTTCTTACACATCGGACAAGAAAACTCAATAACTGCTGTTTGATTAATAACTTCTTCACTATCTTCATCTGTTGACGAAACCGTTGTTTCTGTCTTATTCTTTTTGTTTTTCTTTTTCCCCATGTATATTAATATTTACATTTTTATTTTTGATATATTGCATTCCTAGCTTAATTAATTCCAATGAATAATAACAACAATTTTTAATTTTATTATCAGTTATTATTATTTGTTCTAAATTCTCTACTTCATCTATTATATCAATATAATCTGAATAACTCCTTTTCATATATTAAATAATAAGATAAAAAATAATTTGAAAATATAGCATGCTTGACTTGTTTTTTAGTCATTTCATACTGTTTATTATATTCATTAATTAAATATTTATTGTATAACTCTTTAACAATAAAATTATTTTCTAATATAAATATTATTTTTGCTTTCATATTTTCAATATTATCTTTGCTAAGTGATTCGTAAATATTCATAGTTGGATTAATATAAAAACTATTACATGAACTAATATAAGGCGGATCTAAAAATATCATAGTATTTTTTATTATTTTTATATTCATTATATACATCGACAGCATCAATATTTGTAAATTTAATATTAGCTTTTGTAAAAAAACTATAAACTGGACTACTTTTGATATCATAAAATGAAAAATTAGATCGTAATCCTCCAGAATCTAATGGATATATACCAGGTCTTATTCTATAGTACTTATTATTTATATACCATTCAATTATATTTTTATTAAGTCGTAGACTTCTATAATAATCTTTACCATGTTTTTTTAATTCTTCTAATCCATATTTTAATTTATCATTAAATGAATTTAATTTAGATTCATCATTCATAATTTCAAACATTTCTAATAAATATTTATTATTATCATTAAGAATAAATTTAATATCTGGATGTTTCAACCATATATAATAGGATATAGCTGCCGTTCCACAAAAAGGCTCAATAATAGTATCTATTATATTAAAATCAATTAATTTATAAACTTCTTCAA